AGTACTGGCAGAAGTCATGAAATACTCTGTGTATGGGCCCAAACACACACACTCACAATACTGCTAGAAATAAGGACATATTCTGATAAACCCTCTCTCCCTTTCCATACTATGTATGAGATATGATGCTTATAAACAATATCTTTCCAGTCAGGATTTATTTGGTGGTTGAGATCTGTGAAAGAAATGTCATACAGTTAATTTTTAACTATCTGAAGCTTTTCAACAATATACATTATAAGATATCTTGATGACATACTGACAGAAATTTCTTTAAGAAAACAGTATGGAATGGGTTCATTTATTAGTTACATTGTATCCTAATACTAGCAATTTGCATTATTTTCATATAATGAAATTCTATGTTAGGTATGGTAATATCAATTCAAATGTGCTATGCTATAGTACATAATGTATAAATAGTGATTATCTTCTGCACACATTAATTTTAATGACATATTATGTGTTTTAAACCAACAGACAATAGAGAAGTCAACTCTGCTTGTCCATCCACATTACTTCAAAATAGATACACAGTAGACCAAATCATTAGATCAAATCAGGTAGAGGAACATGCTGTGTGTTATAGATAACTCTTCTGGTGAATATACAGAGTATTGTAATGTTGAATTTGTTTCAAAACAAGAAATAAAATGAATTAATTATATAGAAACAATCCAAGTTTTAAAGTTTAACAGATATGCTTAGTGTAAGTTAAAAGTGATGAAATATTGATTCCCCCACACAAGCAATTGAAACATTTCACTTCCCCAACACACAGCGAAAAGGTTAATGGCCCAGCAGTTGCTGGTAGAGACCAAAGAGAACTGTGGAAAACCTCAATCAAAACAGAAGTGAGACTGAGTTATGCAGAAGCTTTCATAGAAACAAAACCAATCTTCTATACATTACCCTTACATATAAAGCATTATGGACAAATATTGCAACAATCAAGGATACAGTGTAATTCATAGTATGATGCAGTAATACAACTATGAAAGAACTAAACTTCCATTAATTAAAGCAACTGTCTCCTAGTTAAACTCCTCACAAAAATGTGTAATAGAAATACCTGTTTTACACTTCAATTCATAAAAGCACTGATGTGTAACTCATGAAATCATGATACCTATGTACATTAAGACATTAATCCTCTCAAAAAATAAATAAGAAGTACTACATGCTGAACATAATTCACCTCTTCTGCTGGAAGTATCTTTCTGACAACTCTGAAATATGCCACATTTATTCATGCATTGTAGCATGTAAAAAATAATACACCCTGACAAAAGAATCTTTTCTTTATTAATCCACATTTCATTTAAGGGACTCTCTTAATTATCTTGAGTAGAAATCTTGGAGTTAAATACTGATATGTAAATAAAGGAACATCCATAGAAGTTGTCATTCATGATGCCAAAATATGAGATAGTAAATAAATTAAGAATGGAGTTGACTCTGATGGCCTGCATCCAGCCCATAAACCCTGATTTGACACAGTCCTGCTGCAAAAGTGCTATATTCTCGTGACTTTTTATGTCTGAATGAGACTGTACTTTTCTTTATACAGGGTGTCCCAGGAGGAATGGACCAAACTTCAGGAGGGTGTTCCTTATGTTAAAGTATGCCGATATAACCCAAAATACCTATGTCCAAAGTTGAATGGTTACGGAGATAATGGCCCAAGAAAAGTGTGGTCTTCTGACAGGTCCACGCACTGTACCTCTCAGCTGAGAGGCCTTATCTGTGTTTGTCCTTGAGTGCCGTGATTCACCCTAGCCATGCTTATGTAGTTGGCTTTATCAGAACGCGCAGTCAGCACGTTACGTCAGCGCTTGCCATTCATGTGTCATGTATAGTGCTTGGAAACCCTAAGGACAATTATGACATGGCGAGCGAGTATTTTGTACTTCAATTTTATGGCTTCATGTCACTCACAAGTTAGTTTGATGTTACGTACATTATTAACATTACAGAATCCACATATTCCTGCCAGTTTTAATATGTATTTTGTAATCAACAAGTGTGCAACACCGGTCAAAGTTTGACACTTCTCTGGCCATTATCTCCGTAACCGTTCAACTTTGGACATAGGTGTTTTGGGTTATATCGGCATACTTTAACATAAGGAACACCCTCCCGAAGTTTGGGCCATTCCTCCTGGGACACCCTATATACTATGACAGAACATAGTTTTACATGATAATAGCAAGGGTAATAAATTAAATTCATAACAACGGTAGATACACTCAATGAGACTTTATGACTGATTCTTTACATGTTTATATGTGCCTTTTTAATTATTAAAATAGATATTAGTTTTATAAGAAGAGATGTGATATTTTTGTACATTTTGTACCTTGTATTGAATACTTGTTTGTACTACTCACAAAATCAAGTTATTGTATTTGAACAATAAATACTCATTTGCCTGTGTCTGATTACATAGATCTCTATTTACCCCAGTATGATTCTTAAGATTTTAAAAGCAAATCAATATGAAAGGTTTCATTACCAATAAAATTACTCAAACATTTCTATTTCTCCACAATACTCATTGTAAAAAACTGAAGTGAAATACGAATCTCCTTTTAAGTTCCATAGTGTTCATTTTGAACAGTTTTCAGTATGGTGCATATTTACTGAAATACAGTGGAAAGTAATCTGACTCTGCAGTACAGCATCTGTACTGATGACTAGACTCTATCAACTATATATATGCTTCTAATGAATGATCCAGACCAATTAAGAATGTAAAATCAAAAAGAACATACAGTAAACTCCCAACTATCTGGCATGTATGGGGAATGGGGTATTCTGGTTATATAAGAAGAAAATTTTCAGAAGTCTAATACAAAGTCTAAACAATATGTTTTTGCTTTGGTTCTTATATAGGAGTCTTGCGTACACAGCAAATTGATGAATGGCTTTGGATATACTGTAATGCAATCACAAATCAACTAGTCTATACTGTAATTGCACCTGTGGGAAGAAGAATGTGGGGCAATGCCACTAGTGGTTGCTGAGAGAAGTACCACATGTTGAGGCAATATGTACATACTGCAACTTTGTTTTATAAGTGACTGTATAAAAATCATAATTCCAGATAACCAGAAGTTTGCTGTATTTGCAAGACATCTGTACTTGTCAGGATTTTAGATTAATTTCCAGGCTTCCTTGCTACAGATTTACATGTACTGTACACTGAAACTATACCTACTCTTCTGATTGCCCACATGTTTAAGTCCCATTACCACACCTTAACACTAACCTTGGTAATAAATTAAACTTTCTAAAAGCTCAGAATGTTAATTTTTAAAATGAGTTAGAAAATTTGTAAATGTGCAGTGTTTTGCAATGGTTAACTTAAATTAGTAAAAATATAATTTACATGGATATAGGAAATTACTTTCAATAATCATTTTGTTAAAATGTTTTCCAATGTTGAATTAGATTTTTTGTATCTTAAAACCGAGTAATTCATTATAAAACAACATAAGACACATCATGAACTGCAGGAACAACATATATTATAAATATCTGAAACCAAATTTCTAAAGAAAATATTAGAGGACAATGTGAGAATAAAATAGATAATTGAGAAAATAATGTAGTGAAACATTGTGGTAATGGCGTGCTGTGTTTAGGTTCTAACACCAGTGACATATTTTTTTTATTATTAACAAGTTTCAATGTTCTGATGTGTTAGCACGATGAAATGAGCCTCACATTTTGAAGAACTGTATTACCGTATTTACACATGTATAGGCCGCAGCACAATTTTCAGACAGAAATTATAGAAAAAATAATTTTCTTGGAATATTATTTCAGGAGTAGAAATTATTCCGAAATTTGGCAAAGTTTAACATTCCTAAGTTCGCAACTAGCGAAAATAACGGTACCGCTCGGAACAAAGGCATTGCGGGGGAGAGTTATAACCTTTTTGCCTTTACTTGACTTGCCTGGTTAGTTCTGAGTGAAACATGGGTCGAGTAAGAGCAGGTTATATGTCTAAATTTAAACTTCAATGGTGCGTTACGCACAAGAACACAGAAATCGAGCAGCAGGGAGAAAATTCGACGTTGACGAAAAAAATGTGTGTGATCTCGAATATTTCGAATATAAGCCGCACCCCAGTTTTCCTCTTGAACTTTTGGCAAAAAAATGTGCGGCCTATACATGCGTAAATACGGTATATTTTACTCCATGTCTTCTGTTATCCACAAAACCAGACAACTAATATCCTGCATACCTGAAGAAAGCCCAACTTCATTCCAGATATAAATTTTGTTGACAGCCTAACTGTATTACACTTACTTAGATGGAATTCCGTTTATACTATAAGGAAAGCTCAATTATGAAATTAAGAATCTTTTTACTTCATGTGTATTGAAATGTGCATTATTGGTGAAAAATAATATATTTGGGAGCTTGCATGTTTCATGCACTTTTACATGTACTTCAAGATTTACATTTGAAATTAAATATTTCTAAAATATTCTTTGTTGTTCATTTCCATACCCCCATCCTAATATATGACACTATACAACTCTGATTATTCACACTGTATATGTTTAAAAAAATACCAGTTTGTGTATTATTTATTTATATACAGACCTTGCATATTTCTAATATAACTTTTTTAATGATAATCCATAACTTTATAAGGGATTTCTCCAGTGAAGTAATATTTGGTGAAAGATTTAGGAGAAATAGCTGCAAGGTTTACAGTAATGGAGAAGACTGGATTATGGGTTGATATGCATAGGCCAAAAAAAAAAGTAATGCTATCCCTGTAACAGGTCGTGAAGGCCCATAGGGTAGTGAGACGTCAAGACTTCCACGTTTTCTAGACAATCAGCTCACAGATGTCAGTGAGGTTGTCAGACTTACGCGCCAGCAACCCTTTACCCCCAGGAAGATTCCTAGTACTCATTTCTGTTAGAGGCTGAGTCAACCCCAGGGCCATAGTGCAGCTGGAAGGATTAGGTTAATTAAAAAAATCCAATGACCTCATCAGGAATCGAACCCACGACCTTCGAACTTGTAGAATAGTGCCTCAACCACCTATGCTGCCGCGTGGATAACTTCCAATATTCTGTGCAAAATATCGGAAGCACTTTGGAATTGACTGGTTCCATTATAAAGTATTATAAATATTCAGTGAAAACATAAATAAATCACTGAAATAATCCCATTAAGTCTCTGGAGGTATATCATATAAATTGTACAGTTTTATTATGCAAGTAATAATTATAGTCTAGACTTTCTATTTTTGCTTCACTTGATTCGACATATTCTGAATCTAAACTACTGTATTAAATTAGATGCACCATTTTTACTACACTGGATCAATAATCTCCTTGTGGGGTTAAATTTCTTTTCAAAGTACATGTTGCCATGGTAACAGTAAAACTCCCACAATAAACACTCTTATATACACAGAAGCAACTGGAACATATCTCATTACCTGATATGGATGAGGAATATAATAATTTTCTACAGAAGGTTGAAGAAGTTAGTAAGTAAAAAGCATTGTCTTCAGTTTAAATTTTATCCTATCAAGAAACTTATTCTTAGGCATAACCTTGCAGAAATGATTCCAATAACAGCAACATTCCTACAATCTGCAATATTAAGATCTCATGTGCAGATCAGTAATCCCTTGCACACATCGGTCTACTGTAATATTTTACTCGTATTTCACTGCCAAAGAATAACAGTGGTGTTATTCAGTGTCAAACTGCATTAGAATAGTGCAACATAGTTTCTGTTATTTCACATGTGCTGCAAAAGTCATACTCCATACAGTTTACTGTTGCTGTTGTGTTTGTTCATTCTTGGCTTTTATTCACTATTGTTCTCTCAATACAGCACTGCACAAGGAAACAGAGCACGTTGCCTCAAGTGATAACATTTCTGACTTGTATTCAGGAGGCATTCAATTCAAATCTTGGCTGAAGTTTTTTCATGGGTTTCTTCAGTTCCTCCATGCAAATTCTAGGACAGTACCTTAAATTAAACTATGATCACTTCCTTCCCGATGCATCTATCATTATCAACTAATTATTCAACACTGTATAGCCTGTACTATTAACAGTGACATGAAATAAATTATAAATAGAAAATATACTATGCAAGGTATAAGGAATGCATATAATCCCATTTATCTTTGAAGAAAGCAGTCTTCTGGGATTTGGCACCGTGTGTATGTTACATCTGAGTAATCACTGTCTTATTCAAAATTGCATGTAGATGGATTACTGAGGATGCACATACTAAGAAAAGAAGATGGAACTATATTCTAATCCTGGAATTACTTAGTGTACATACAGATATAGGGGGCATGCAGTAGCGTAGTTGGTTGAGGCACCATGGTCATGGGATCGAATCTCGATGAGGTGGATTTTTTTCAATTTACCTAATCATTTGTCAGTTCAATGAACAGTTTAAGCAAAACGAGACTCAGACAACTTCATCATACTCCTATATTTGATGCAGGAAATAGTTAAAGGTAAAATATTCCCTGTGCTTAAATAATTAAGCACTATGCCATGAAGGCATATGGGAGAGTGCATGTACAGATCCACATTTTCTTGACCTCAGCACTAGTTGGAGGTGAGTGGTCAGTGATGAGGTTGACACAGTATGCTACAAGCTGGAAGGTCACGGGGTCAAGTCCCGATGAGGTCACTGGATTTTTTCAATTGACCTAATCCTTCCAGCCACACTATGGCCCTGGGGTCGACTCAGCCTCTAACAGAAATAAGTACGAGGAATTAATGAAATAATTTTCCTAGGGAGTAAAGCACGGCTGGCGCGTAAGGCTGACAACCTTACCGCCATCTCTGAGCTGACTGTCTAGATAATGTGGGACCCTCATCATCTCACAACCCTATGGACCTTCGCGGCCTGTTACAGGGATAGCTTTACTTTACTTTACTTCTTTTCTATAATCAAAAACATTATGTGTTAAAAATTTTCTAATTGCATATATCAAAGGCAGTATATACATCTAATTAACTATGTCTACACGATATTTCATATAGTAAGAGTGTAATGCCTATCTCAGTAAAAAGAGGTGTGTTACAGTGCAATCACAGAATTCACTAAGCTGGAATTCCAACAAGACAAAAATAGTGAAATAATGTACACACATATTTCATTTCCAGCTTCCATTTTGAATAGCATGAAGTCCAATGATCCTACTGTGGTTGCAAATGCTACACAGAGAGCTGACTTGTTTCTTCAGAACACAGAAAGAAAGGTCACATTTAATGCTGATGGACTTCGAGTCAAAACAAACAAAACAATTATAAACAAGAAAGCCTTTGAAAGTAATCCAAGGCAAAACGATGCAATGTCATCTGGTAAGAGAACTAGGATACTTATTTTGATTATAATATTAAAGCACAACTGCTCTCATTTAACTAAAGTTTAAATTAATTTGCATCAGGGACAGATATGTAAAAAGAACTACTAATTAAAACGAGTATCCATATATTGTAGAGAGATATTAACATGTGATCAGCAATTTGCAAACTTTCATCCTTATAATGGAGCCTGTGACAAAAGCAAAAAGTTATGCTTCATGTACTTTGAGGTCTGTTGCAGAATTTACAACATTCGTGAACACTCTGGGTGATTTGATGTCAAAATTAATTTGTTTTTTAAACAACAATACTTGAATCAGAAATGTCTCTTTGAATTAAATTGTGTGACTTATAGTAATAATGGATAGCCCAGTCAGTAACACGACTACAGTCTGGATCACTAGGGTGTGATTCCTGGCAAATGCAAAGAATTTTCTTTTTCAGCACCATGTTCAGACTGAGGATCCACTCAACATCCTATCAGGGTATTGAAGGCTATTTTGCAGGGGTAACACAGCTGTAGCATGAAGTTCCTTTCACCATGTACTTCATAGTGTGATAATAGAGGAAACTATGTTGATGGTGACAACAATGATGCACCTATCAGTAATGAAGAAACTTCAATACATGTGTACCTGAATAACAAAAATATTGATAATAATCCCTACTAAACATTCCAGCATGGAATTGTACGAGACATATATTCTGGGAAGGTCACACTTTTTTTGAAATATATTAGAATAGCATTTTTAATTTCAAATATATTTTCCTTGAAGCTATTACATTACCAGCCTTAGGTACTAGATTCAACCCTGACTCAAGGACAGGATACCCTGTAGTATGATGCAAGAAAATCATAATAAACCTCCAACTCTTTATATGCAAATGGTAGTCATCTTCATTATTAAGAGATATAAGGTAATGCTTATATTTAAAGTAATAATCAGTATTCTCAGCTATGTAGAATAACACTGAATTAATCACGTGAAAAATAGGCTATACATGAGAAACACATGAACATGAGAACTTAATCAGTTCTGGGTCTCCTATTTGTAAATAACAGTTATTCGCTTAGCCAGCAATAATTCCATACTGTTATCTGGCCCATAGGAATATTACTATCACACTGCATGCCTCCAATTACATGCTATTCTGTTCTAAGATGCAGGTCATAAACATACACTTATTTCCCCAAGTACTCTCAATGGTATTTGCAAATAATAATTAGGAATACTTTGTGCAAACACTTAAAATACTGAAACAAAAATCAACATTCATTATATCATGAACCACACTGACCACCATTCCTCAGTCCTTCCAAGCATCTAAATTTAGATCATGGCTGATTTCTTCCATATCCCATCCAATTCATTATTCATCATCAAACCATTCGATGCTATATAATTTGAACTGCTGGAAGCACTGTTAAATGAACAATACATTAAAAGCATGAAGGTTGATTAGAATTACTCATGGCTCAAGTGACAATGGGGTGCCTGCCAGCACATTATAGTACAGTTATCTTGCCTTGAGGTTACAATGGTTTCCCACAGTCCATCCAGGGAGCACGTGGTAATGTAGTTGGTTGAGGCACTATGCTACAAGATGGAAGGTAGCAGGTACGATTCCCAACGAAGTCACTGGATTTTTTCAATTTACCTAATCCTTCCAGCTGCACTATGGCCCTGGGGTTGACTCACCCTCTAACAGAAATGAGTACCAGGAATCTTCCTGGGGGGTAAAGGACAGCAGGCACATAAGGCTGACAATCTCACTGGCATCTGTGAGCTGACTGTCTAGAAAATCTGGGAACCTCAACATATCACGACCCTATGGGCCTCCATGGCCTGTTACATGGATAGCTTTACCTTTTTTACCTTCACTCCACAGTCCAGCCAGGCAAATGGCAGGTAGTGCACTGAAAAAGGACTGACACCATACCCTGCAGTCCTTCCCACTTCACTGTATATAACCAACTGCTCATGTCGTTTGATGTTAAATAACCTATGCAAGTGATCTAGCACCATTAAATAGCCAATACCAAAAAAAAACAAATTTAACAATTAAGGCACACCTTATTTATGCACACATCAGGCACCCATATCACATACACAAATATAAGCAAGCATACAAAATACATTTCTTTTCCTAATCAAATAAAACATTTATGAAGTTCATAAACCTAAACATATATGCCTTGCAGAAGCATTCATGGCTTACGTAGAGAAAGATGCAGCAGCAAGAGCAGCTGAAAAAAAAGAAAGAAAGGCAACTGCTGATGGCTACATGAAAAAGGCCAATGAAGCCTTCAGAGCTAGAGATTATGAAAGGGCACTGGACCTCTACAATAAGGTGAATTTTAAAATATACATAGTCAATTCCTGATTATTCAGCAATGGATTATCTGATTTACATGTAATCAGTGTATCTGTGTGCGATTTTTTCCTTTGTTCTATGTAATAATACATTTCTACAAATGCAGACATCTGTCAACTAGGCTTTCATCATTCATTCATTTTGAGTAACCAGCAGAGTGGTTTGGAATGAAAAAGGAGAGACAGTCTTATGGTAACAGGGGAATGGGAAACCAAAGGTAAAACTGTTTCCATGTTTTTCTGGTGATGCACGTTGAAAGGCTCTGAGCTGGAAGCAATGGGGACAGATGGACTGTGTCCACAAGACATAAGTTAGTAAGGAAGCTGGGGAGTGACTCTGTCACCAGTACCTACTCTTCTGTGACATCAGTCACTTCAGGTTCAGCCACTGGTCTGTGCAGATGATAAACAGGTGCACTATCAGAAGAGAACTGTGATTTCCTTCCATGACATAACATCATAATCCGGAAACAATGCCTGTTCACTGCTGTTTGTGTCACACAAAAATTGCAGTTGTTACAGAAATACTCCTCCTGTTACATTAGTTGTAGTTAAGATATTGGAGTAATTTTAAAAAGCAGTCATGACCTATTGGCAATATGTGAACCATTTGAGAGACAGTGCAGCTGAGTAGGAAATAGCAAAAATTGGTTTCTCCATTACACCAGAAACTGCTGCTACTATACACTGCTGTACACAGTCGCTTCTCAAAGTCAGTATATAGCTTCCAGGCAGTCTGTTTGTTGGTTTTGCTATTATGAAGTGTGCTCAATACTGCAGAACTGATCGTTAACTTAGAAACCCTATGAAAGCTGGAAGAAAACTGTGCTAACATCAAAAGAGAGGCTTAAATCAACTGCTAAATTTTAAAACAGGGAATGAACAAGAAAACCAACTGAAGATTATGTCACAGGGTTACAAACTATAAGACATACAAAACAAGGCTAACTCTAAGCTGATGAAAATTGTAAGAAATTGCCAGTCTTTGTGCAGGATCTTTTAAATGTATGAAGAAGTGGTCATATAACGCTGCACACCTATACTAGCTTAATGGGATCATGACTGGAAGAAACACTCATATTTGGTCACAAGTATGCACAGAAAGCAAAGGTCTATTATGAAACACCGGAACTGCAAGGTTTCATCTGTATGGCTGACCAAATTTAAAAAATACTAAAATATTCATAAAACCAACTGTGGAAGGTGCTCTTCAGAATCCTCAGTATCAGTACGCACAAATGCATCTGAAAACCACAAAATGAAACTTCTAATAACTGGTGAAGTCAATAATCCATGTTCATTTATAAAGACACCGAAGTAAACATGCTTCCTGTTCACTACTACAGCCAGTAAGAAGCATGGCTCGAATGTTCCATTAGAAGTCTGTTCCTGAAGTTCAGTTCTTCCTGAGAGAAAAGGTGTAGCCCCAGAATACAATGCTTTTGTCAGACAGTGCATTCATACAAGTATAAAAACTTTAGAACCATACACTGGATGCTGCTGCCTGTGCTTCCACATCAGAAGTTTAAACTGCCATTCACTTGTTGATACTGACAGCATGGATTCAAAAATTCTGTAAGAAAAGACCTCTCATGTTATGGTCTTCATACTGAATTTAATACCTTTAATGAAAGTAGTTAGGACATTGTGCACATTTGTGTGCAGCTTAACTGAATGTTTGTGATTTCAATATCAATTTATTTCAACTAAGAATGTCACTGAACCCTTAAGATGTGCTCACGAAATCCTAAGTTCTAAAAGACTAGACAAAAAGAAAGCTGTTATACATTGACACACTGACAATCAGGCTTCAATTCCTAGGACAGGTAGGATATTTCTCTTTCCATATTCCGTATTGAGGGGGTGGGTTTCCCCATGCACTTAGACCAGTTAGTGGTCCATTGGGCGTCCCCCTTTAATTTCTACTGTCTCCATACCCTACCGGTACTGGTGCTTACTATCAGCCCCTTTCTGCCAGCGAGGTTCCAACTTCCTCTGGCAGTGGTATCTAATAGTTAGTCCCTTTCTGTCAGAGAGGTCCCCCCTCCTCTGGCAGTGATACCTAATACTTCCCCCATCTACCGGAGGAATTGGAAACTACTTGGGCGGGAAATGTTGCCTAATTTTGCTCAGAGGTCTCCTAGAGACATGAGGTTCTTTTACGTGCCGTAAATCTACGACACGGGACCCACGGCTTAAAGTCCCTCCCGGAGGACTTGTTCCCTGAATTTTTCCGCCCTTAAAAATTCCACGACCTCCGCCTGGTTTGAACCCGCGTACCTTGAGTCATGAGGTGGAAACGTTACCCCTAGACTACGGAGGCCGCTATATTTCTCTTTACCACCATATTGAGAATCAGCTATCTCTGCAACTGGAGGCCCTTTCCCAAGATACATGTGCACGTGCTCATATGCGAGCACATGCATGTGAAGAAGTTAGTTTGTGAAACAGATCACTTTCATCCATCTCATAATTAGGTCCAGAAAAAAAATATGGTTTCCTGTAATGTGAAACCATGTAGTTTAACAGGCAAATATAACATTTTGCATGAAGCAGCAGTTTCCTCCAAACTGTATGTACTTATCTACATCTTTCAAATTTAATTTCCTTGACAATTTTTACTATTTCACTTTAGGCAACTGAACAAGTCAAGGACTGCTGCCTACTTTATACAAACCGAGCTTTGACTTACCTCAACTTGAATCTTTACTCGCGTGCTATTTCTGATTGTGAATGGGCACATAAATTAAATGAAAACAATTTAAAAGCCTGGCTGTACAAAGCTCGAGCTTATCATGAAATGGGAGATGAAAAGAAAACTGCTGATTGTCTCAAAGAAGCAGAGTCACGGAATCCTGACAGCAAAGCACAGATTGAAGGTAAGCTAGTTATGAGAATATCTGTTAAAATTCATCTTTAACTTTTATCCTTTCCATGCTATGCATAAGATATACTGTTTAGGAGAACTGGTCTTGTTTATTTGGAGTCTGATATAAAGAAATGCATCTTGCTATCTAAATAGTTAAAATTGTGTGGCTTTTTACAATAGAAATGTTATATTACCACAAAAATATGATAATAGGCGATTTTTTTTAATAAAAACAGCATGCGAACATTTAATAATAGTGGGTTATGATGCCATGAATCTCGTTCCAATATAAAGCTCAATTTCATTTCTCTTTTGTGTATAATTGCAACATTTCCCCAGGTAGAAATAGGGTGTGTGGTTGTGGGCTGGAGTTATCTGGCTTAGGGTACGGTTTGGTGGTGGGCTTTTGTGAACACAACAATCAACCTCTTGAGTTCCACAAAAGGCAGGGAAATTCTTGAACAGCTGAGTGGACTATTGACTTCTCAATGAAGACACTGCTCTAAGAAGTTGGTGGATGAGAATATGCACATATGCACATGCAAACTAAATTAATTTGAAAGTCATGAACACATTTAAATCTCAATGTGAATAATCTCCTGTACTTAAATATCCCACTGTTCCTGGCATACTTCCGGGAATAGTAACAAAATGTAAAAAAGGTAACACTCATACATTCTTGTCAAACAGGATATGAATTTATAACCTCAAAAACCAGACTTTCTAGAATTACTGGTCTTGGTTCATAGGCCTATTGAGAACTGTAGCTTGTAAGAAAAATAAAAAGTTGCAGAATTGTGACTGGGGCCCAGAAACTTTACATCATAAATGTGAAAATATCCTGAAGTTCTAATGTGTAACATGCTAATACGGTTCCCCTCTATTCAAGCAATTACACAAACTGGCTTTTGGAGTTATATGTCCTTGGTTATTTGGCTTATGGACAGTTGATATTTTAAAATAGTATCAATCTGTGGTTTCTGTGCAAACATGGAAACCCCGTTGTAAGAACGGTTATATTTTCAGTGTATGATCTCATTAATTCTAATTACCAAATTTTAATGAATTTCCATTATCTTTTGTAATAAGGTCACTAAGAAAAAAGCTGTTAGTGAACTAGTTCATATATATATATACAGTTGTGGAAACAAGAGCTGCTAATAACTGCAACAATATCGTGTTGATATTATGCAATGCCCTGAAACAAAGTTGTTCACAGGCAATTTTGTCCAGCTTTCTATCTCCACAGTTTCCATTCATTATTACACACAAATTATATATTACAAAAGAAGATAATTTTTTTCCAATCAAAAGTGTATTTTTTTAATTCAGCAAGAATTTAAGGCTCTTACGAAAGATGTTTCAATAGTTTAAGTTATGAATGCATCTGCTAATTCAGCACTTATGGCAGCATCAAATGCATGTAACTTTAAATTACAACAAAGGTGAAATAAATAACTTAAAAATAAAGAAACATGCCTTGGATTTGCAGTTTAGAATACCAAAAAAATGTCTGGGATCTCAGATCATAATATACCTTCACTTTAATAATTATACACATTCATTTAATTTTTTATTTTTTCAGCATATATATGCCTTTGGAAGACTGAGTAACGGAACAAGTATACATCAAATCATTAAACTACAAATTAAACAAAATATATGTATCTTCCCACAGACAAATGCACTGTTAACAAACAACTCAGGCATATTAAACCATAACAAATATCATTACTTAATCTACATCTTCTATTTTCAAAACAAATTATTACAATGAATCAAAATGTTTGCTCCTTTTACAATGAAAATAAAACGTCTTCTCATCAAAAAAATATTAGAACACTTCTTCAAAACTATTTGCAAAACAGAAACGTTAGATGTTTGCCAGGTCAAACACAAGAAACCAGTAGCAATCGCTGGCTGTCACTAAAATCATATTTTATCATTTTTTCTAAAACGTCATCAAAATTATAGTGGTGTAACATTTTTATGCACATACTGTCCTTAGATATTAGCAATTTGTTAATGGAACTGAAAATAAATATTAAGTATTATATCTGTCACAATGCTTCATTAATTTTAACAAATCTAACTTGTAAATTCAATCTCCTCAAATAAATTAAATAATTTATGCAAGATTTTAGAACTAAAAATTCTGAGAAAATTTATGAGTTATGAGAGAATATATGGTAGCTACAGTGAATAATATTACTAAATGTGAAGCTGGAATACAAGGATTTCTAGCTTCCACTGTAAAGACAGTCTGACACCAATAAATTCACAGCCTTGTATTATTACAACAAATAAATTGCATGTTGTACATTTCATGTTCTGTACTGAAATTTAGTTGTACACTATACTAACATGGCATGCAAACGTTGATTCCCTACCTTGACAGAAGTATATCAACTTCTGTCAGCATCTGTACTAAGCTGCTGTACACATGGAAGAACCAGAACTTTAGCATCGTGTTCCTTTCCTTCAGTAAGAGCACGAGATTCATGAAGAAACACAGCAAACTCCACACCCTGATGAATAAAAAACAAAGGACCTCCCTAAAGTTGACTGGAGACCAATTTACAGATAAGCAGATGCTGAACTTGAGTTAACAATCTGTTCCAAATATAACTCATAAAGTCTACTTTCCTATCACACAGACATTTAGTACCACAAATCTTGTATTTTAATGCCATGTTTAGGTAACATACATTTAAAATCAAACAATTCAGCAAATTAGCTCACGAATTTATGATGATTGGGTGTTAATACTATCATGTGTTGCCTATGTAACGCGACAAGTAAATTCAAGTGGGTCTCGGATTTGGTGAATATATTTATTGGACAATCTCTTTCACCCTCGCAAATAAAATTAGTCACAACTTCACTATCACAGTGACTTCGTGAAGTCCTCCGATACCTTTGTCGGATGACAGCTTGCTTCTACTCTATACGGATAATGTGCACTCGCACTGACAAGTGAACATCATGGTCAAGGGTTCCATTTTATCCACTGGTAGTATTCGTTTCCATGGATATCCTTTCATTTCAAGGGAAACATATTTCTTTAGCTATTCCTATGCAACAGTCTGCTGGTATTGCGTGTCCAGTGAAGTCTACATTCTTATCACAGCCGTTGCCTATCAATGAACGTGTCTTTCGTCCTTTTTGGTGGTACACCACATTGCTCCCTTCTTAAGGTTTTCATCCCGAACAGCCTAACAGGGTTTCCCTTTCATCTTCCAAGCTCTACATCTGCCCTAAATTAATTCTAAGTTTGTATCTCAGACTGGAAGATTACAATTAATTTATTTACATAACGAACATTTATCCAACTACCAGATAGCTTGAACATTGCAAGAATAACGAAAATGATTCATGATGAGTTCTATGTTCTTAGATATAATGACATGTAGTCTGTTGAAAGTCAACCAGTGTTTCTGAGGAGCATGTCATGACTGAAGGCTAAGCCAGGCAAGAAACCAGCAGCTGCTTGCTTCACGCTGGTTTCTTGCTTGGATTACTCGATGGAGGCGACGTCTTTCTCCAAAACATCAGACAACTATCAACTGACTACATGGCATTATATCCCAGAGAATGAACTCTTCATTACCACTGCTGTGAGAACCTCGAATCCTTCATTTACTTCTGTTCTTCCAGTGTGTTCATGGCCTAACCTGACAAGCAAGGCAGGTTTACTACATAAACTGACATACACAAAGGCAAATTTTTCATAAAATGGTTCATTTTAAAAAATAAGAATCAATCAAAAAATATGGCTCAAAAAATTTTATATCTTCTATCTCCTCTTTTTGTGAGTACTCAGAATTTACTTAATCTTTAAATGAAAGTAATAAACTTTCTTGGCAAAAGTGGATCAGATGTGTAACTATGGGCTCCTATTTAATGGATTTCTTAGTATAAAATGACACAGTCTCTTCAGAAAGAATGCCACTGTTATCAGTCATGGGGAATGAGGAAAAACTTTCACTTTACACAGTAACCTTCAAAGCTTTCCAGCATGGTTCAACAAAACTGAACTAGTTTTAATACATGCTGTAATATTATTTCATACTTAGTCATACAATTTATGAGATGGTGTGAAGATGTATTTACCTGGGATTTAGCAGCACGAATGAAACCCTCATTTGCCGAAACAGTAACAGCTCTAAGAGCATCACCAGTGCTAAAAACTGCCAAGGACCTCTGTTTGATTTTGCCACCTAACTTGAGCCGAGCTTCAGCATGAGCAGACGCCATATCAGGAACTACTGTGACATGGGTAAGCAACTCATTTGCTCTGTCCACTTCCCCAGGACCTCCAAGCGTTGACAAAATGGACTTAAAGTCCTTTATTGCTGATTCACAGCAAAACAAAGACTTTCCTGTCATACAGACATGCAGACATTAGCCTTAGTTCTCCAACCAAGCCTGTAGCTCAACTATAACAATTATATTGCCACTATTCTTTATGCAAACAGCAATGTAACCTAATGTTTACTACTACAAAATTTAAAACTGTAACAATATTTTGCAATGTTTTGATCATAATGAACCTTCATATTCCTTGTTATCGACTTTTCAAGGAATGTCTTCTTACACAGTGAAGTTACTCAGTTGATCTATCTGCATTATTTCAGCATCTTCAGTACTGTTTCTTGTTAGTGCTAGTCTCTTCTACCATTCTTCTCTTGCTTCAAACGAGCAGTTACCTATGTCTCTGAGAAGAAATCTACTGATTAATTAATATTCTTAACAAAATAATGTCAGTCATCCAACATATCACACCTTCAAACAGTTGGTCCAGCACTGGTTTCACAGGTCTTGCTCTTTCCCATTCTGCTTGTTGGGTAAGTATTGGTTCCTTGAACTCAAAGTTACATCTTCCATTTGTTAAACCTGACACATATGCCAGCATAGCTGTAACATCAAGATTCAGCTTCTCACCACCATGGGTGCAGTCAATCACAGAACCAGTTCCTGAACTTAACATGGAGCATGATACATCTGCACAGTTCTTGGATACACAAGTTGGCATATTGTCACATTGAGGTTCTTGAAGAGGTAACTCACAATTCTCAAGTCTTCTGCCAGACACAATAATACCCAGTAAAGCAAGTCGATCAGCTAAAGTCTTTTCAATACCACATGCAAATGCAAACACAACCTATAAAAGAATACATAAAAATCAATTTGTACGTCTAAGAATTTCTTGTTATAAACTGCAACAGATGAGATGACTATTCTCCCATAAAATATTGAACTTATCTGATTTCAAAAGCCTTTATATGAATACAGATTTCCACATATAGTGACCATCTTACATCCAAATAAGTATGTATGTCTTTCTTAAAGGAGGCTATTGTTCATTTATGTTCTTTCCATCAGCTGTGGATTTCCTATATGTACAGTTCTTCAGCACAGAGAGATATGTTAGATAAAGGTTTTATTTATTCTAATTAATGGCAAATACATAATTTTGGTTGCAAAACTTCATGAAAGAAGGCCAGCTGGTGACCGTAATGAACCTGGTAGGAGTATATTACATAAAACATATCTTACGGAAATAAGTTGGAAACATGTAAAATGTAACTGGGTCAGGATAAATCCAAAGGTAAGATTTTCTTGGTAATGGTGATAAATTTTATATTCCTCAACACAGAATGGGTCCATTGTACATCCCTGATTTCATCAGAGCCTTTTGAAGAGCCTCACCCTCAATGCTTGAGCCAAAACCTCTAAGAAAAGCTCTCCATATATTTATCAGACCTAATCATGCAGAGCCAAAGATCTCCATTCTATGCCCAGCCAAGGAGAGCACATGCTCCCTCTAAGTCAGCTTGGCATCCACAACAACCCCCTCAATACTTCACTCCCTCAGAAGTACAAAACACCCTGTTTAGTAGAACAGATTCTATGAACCTGTCTACCTTATTTCTCTTGGTAGATTACGTACATCAGGAATAATGGATAGCTCCTCAGCTCCATACAACCTCTGTACAACAAAGTGTCTTGTTTTGAATCACTTAATTTCTATTTACAAAATTATGAAAAAGAATTACCCACATTACCTTGGGAGTTTTGAAGAGATGGGGATGCTGGTGGGCACACTCAAGATACTCTACTGCATGATCTACAATACTTCGCTGTCCAAATTCCCCCTCACCTAATAGAAAAAGGGGCAGCTGATAATTCTGTATTTCAGCTAATAATGTAATGAAAAAAATAAATAATGGTGCCATAACATAATATCGGCCACATCACAAGAATGTCATATAAAGCGGTCTTTTTTAAAAGAAGCAAGTCCTAGTAAGCACAACAAAGAGATCAATAAATATATGATGTGTAAATGCATCTCTTAATGCCTTTCTTACCATAAAGTTGATCTTTTTCACCATTTCACAAACTAGGCTCCGGTAATGACATCATGGCAGTAAAGAGGTAAGGTAAAGGTAAAGCTATCCCTGTAACAGGCTGTGAAGGCCCACAGGTTTGTGAGATGTTGAGGCTCCCACATTTTCTCTAAGACAGTCAGCTCACAGATGGCAGTGAGGTTGTCAGCCTTACACACTGGCCACCCTTTACCTCTCAGGAAGATTTCTGGTACTCGTTTCTATTAGAGGCTGAGGTGACCCCAGGGCCATAAAGCAGCTAGAAGAATTAGGTAAATTTAAAAAATCCACCTCATTGGGACTCGAAACCGTGACCTTCCAGCTTGTGGCATAGTGCTATCATGGCAGTGTAATCATTATATCTGCAATGAATTGAATTTCACTGTGTAACTTCTAACGATTAAGTCATGACCATATACCCATAGCATCTGTTATGGGGGTAATACCACTGCCAGGAAGTGGCCTCTGTTAGTTTGAAGTTTGGTCAATGGCCAGATTTTAAATGTTTCATGTGGTAACAAAGATAAATAAGACAATGCAGTTGAATGGACTTGAAATCCACCAATCTAATGTAATAAATTGATTACCATCACTTCATAAACACAAACTTTCTGATCTAATGTATAAAAATTAATATCCTCTGCAAGGAATTTAGCCTGTTAATGTAACTGTTTCCTCTGACAAAAAGATCAAATACATTGCACTGCATTTAATCATTACTGCTGCCTAAAATTAGAATAACACTTTCATTGAGAGTAAAGGATATGCAGCATAGTGTAAAGCCTCTTCCTACTAAATTACCGCTTCCATAGTCATGCAGTACAGTCTGCTAACATAAATGAGGTTTTGGTGACTAAGTCATGGCAATGTAACCATTGTATCACATGCAGATGACATTCCACTAAACTAAATATTATATTTAAGTAGATTTAAGTACATTCTTAGAGTCCTTAATTTTATCTGATGTTTTGTAAGCAGCCAGTTATATACGAGTATAACCAGTATACCTGGGTTCACTATAAATCTCTGATCATCCAATACTTCTAACCTACTTTCCTAGAGTAGGCATATGTGACCTCTTTCCAGTTTGTATGTCTGTGTATCTGCCCTTATCAAACTTTGAATATCTGAACTAATTTTTATGAAATTTGGTAGGTGTGTCATGGCACCTGACGCCCATCTAGGTGGGGTAGTTCATAAATCTCTCCCATCAGTCTGTGTGTCTGTATGTGTATGCTCCCGGGCAATGGCTCAGTAAAAACGTTACTGCGTCAATGAGTACATATGCAACAACAGAAGAATTGTTGGACGTATTGATTATGCAGTCTGCGTAGTATCGAATGAAAGTAGGCGATTACTTCTTCCCAGAACTTCTTGTTATGATACCAGATGAATCAATGTTTTATAAGAGTTCTGTACTACAGCGAACCATATTATCGACGACTTCAGTGAATTTATTCTTTGGAATCTTACAAAGATAGTCTGCAGTTTATAGTTACAGTGTTACAAAATGCCATGCAATTATTAAATGTCTGTCCTTCGATATGCATAACGTACATACTTCATCATCTCTGAAATAACTGGAAGGATTTCAATTAAATTCTGTATTGGGGTTTACAATCAAATGTACCAAGGGATTTTTAACTTCAGATCATATCAGAACAACATTATTCCAACTTCAAGGGAAGGTCAAATTAAACTTTTAATTTTTTTTAAAATATCTCCTCACTCTAAAAAGGACTGGTACCTCATACATTGCAGATCACATTAGGAGCCATAAATTCTGTTTTTTAAGAATTTCAATATGGTGTGTACATACATACATTTCATAAGTCCAAAACAAATGGACATGAAGGTAATCATATCAATAAACAAATACAAAAAATTTAAACAAACACACAGATAACAGAATAATTAAAACTAATTGTTTATGTTATGCTCCACATATTCAGAAACAGTATAAAAGGAATTATTCAAAAGATATAAAGACAGCTTATTTTTAAAACTAATTTTATCCTCTTTAAGGCTTGACAGCTAGCTTATGTATTATGTGCCTACTGACCATAAACACATGTCCCTGCCACTGTATTAAACAGTCAGTCAGATGTGTTACATGCTGTGCCAAAATGCCACATGAGAGCTACAAATTGAAACAAGCATACATGTTATGAGACCCATGTGAAAAGTATAGAGATGATTCTGGCACAAATTTTAGGATGTTACAGTTCCAAATACTAAATGTTTTCTTGAAACTGTAGATAAATTTAGACCTGAATTAAAATGTCAACTGCTCACTGAAGACAAATGAGATGAAATTGGTGCTAGACTTGAATGTGACCATCAAAAATCCTTCAGGTGCCTTGTACTGGAGACCAGGATTTAAAGTTCTATGTCTCAAGTTTCAAGTTTGCTATGTTTCCAAAAAGGAACTTCAACATGTGAATGTGAACATTTCATGGATGTGCAAGAGAGTAAGCGTAACAGAGATCATTTCTGGCATATGCCTTGATCTGGATAAGGTTTGTTTGTGATGTTCTGTACTCTGGCTTCTTGATTGTATTGTCAGGCTACATGCATGAAAAAAGTTGATGCAGGTAGTGTGTGACCAAAAGGTCTGCACCAGGCTGTAAAATAAGCTCCCTGTACAAGGAATCTTGCTCTAATTACTATGATTAGTTTTACAACAGTCCACCTGCATAAGCAACAGATGACCATTGGCTCTACACAGTATTTGTAAGAGAAAAGAAATCATTTGGAAAATAATGTACGAGTACATTCTACTGGAATATAACTTTCCACTATTAAAATAAGATGTAAACTACCACTTAAGCATACCTAGTTTAAGTTCTTATGTTGATTACATTGTTACAACATTGATATGTTTCACACTTACAAGACCATTTGAAGGGGGGGGGGTTTACAATACCAAAGGAAACTTTAAAGGTAACGTTGTCCCTGTATTTAACTAATTAAGCACTACACCATGAAGGCATATAAGCAAGCGGTTGTATAGATCCACATTTTCTTGACCTCAGCACAAGTTGGAGCTTCACACCTCAGCCGCTTTACTCCCGTGGAAAGGGCCCACCATACCCATTGGATAGGAGGCTGGGTGGGCCCCAGAGTCTGTCTGGACGATGTGGAGAAGAGAAAATTCTTGACCCTACTGGGACTTGAACTCTGACCCCTCAGTTGTTCAGCCCATAGCCAGTTGCTATACTGACTTCACCAGCTTCAAAGAAAACTTCATAAACCTAATATATAACAATACAGGATTTAAAATACGGTATCTTAGTCACATACTACTTTTGAAAGTTGAACATACTATGCTAAAATTCATTGATACAGACCATAATTAGTGCAATTCTGTTGCCTTACAGTGTACTGTGCCATGTTGTATGTTGCTGCCTGATACTCGATTTTTAGGTGCAGAGAAGTTGGAACCCTGCAGTTTCTTCGTGGATCTTGGTAAATGAAGTATTTAACTTGCTGTCTCACACTTTTTTCTTAGGTGTTAAGTTGTCCCCCCTGGTTTCATTTTGGTGAAGTACCAAATATTAGTTTTAATATAAGAAACATACATCTGAGACAGTTTAAATTTTTTATTATTATATTGTGACATGGCAGCTGAAAGTCTAGAAAAGGGAGCTAGAAGAAATGGGTATTCCTCTGCTTCCATGCTCACACTGCTGGCTGGCTGGCTACTATCTCACAGCTAATTCAAATCAAGATATTTATTATTGTTTGACAGTTAATGTCTTGCTTTTGTGGTACGCCCTCTCTGAAGAAAGGACGGGTCTGTCTTTTGTATACACTGCAGGCCCTTGCCAACGCAGTCTTTCTTGGGCCCGAGACCCTTGGAACTCGCAACCATATTTTACTGTCTCAGATTTGGGACTTCCCTTTTCGTCGCCTCCTACAACTTGCAGGGTCATGGTGGAGGTATTCAACCATGCCTCCACATGGGTACTAACTCATTCATACTAACACCTCTCCTCTGTTATCATATACATATCTGTTTCCACAATACATGTTTATGGAGCTGTTACCCAGCAGTGAACAATTTCTTCTGGCTCCATTTTTCCAGCCTTTCAGCTGCCATGTCACTATACAGAGTGTCCCAGGAGGAATGGACAAAACTTGGGGAGGGTGTTCCTTATGTTAAAGTATGCCGATATAACCCAAAACACCTATGTCCAAAGTTGAACGGTTATGGAGATAATGGCCCGAGAAAAGTGTGGTCTTCTGGCGGGTCCACGCACTGTACCTGTCAGCTGACCACTCTTATCTGTTTGTCCTTGAGTGTGCTGATTCACTAGCCATAAGCCTGTGCGCTACCTTCAGGGTACGTTGCCGCCGCGTTGTGAATGTGTGGTAGGTTAATTGTGCGGAGGTGCTGAAATGCCTTTTGTGTTTTCACATGTGGAATATTGTGATATGCATTTTGTGTGTGGATTTTGCGGTGGCAATGCACGTGCTGCTGTTGAAGAATACCAAAGGCGTTTTCCCAATCGAAGGATTACATGTCGAAGTGTATTTACGCGAATTCACCAGACATTGCGTGATACTGGTTCTCTTCCGAGTGTTTCTGTGCACTCTGAAAGGGTGTATATATAATGTAAAGTACACCCCCAAAGATAGTCTTGTGAGACTGAAACGTGTCAGGCTTTTAAGAACATGTAATCAACATATAAAAATAAACTACATACACACTGATGGTAACTTACATCTTATTTTATTATAGATAGTGCATCAAAAAATGAACCCTATCAAAATAACTTTCCACTTTTTAAAAATGTAATTTCTATTACACTTCCTTACCTGTTGAAAGTTGGGACAAGGCTTTCGGATTCCGTGCAATTACTTTGACCCACTGTTGGCCTTTCTCTGCTACAATATCTACACAGATTCTCTTCAAAATTCCATCTGCTTTTTTAAGGACAAAAGTTTCAAGTACAGCAACACAGCTGCAACTTCCAGTAATGCACGACACCAAAGCTTGGAAGTGATGAAGGTTTGTACAGAGCAGATGCTCCTTTTTTGCTTCTTTAGACTTTACTACCTGACAGAAAAGAAGATGAATGTATTAGAAATTGTATTTTCTTTCTGTAATTTCATAAATGTAGCTGGTTATTTAACAATGACATCAGTATCCAGACTATATAGCACCAGTGATAGGATGATTATCAGATGTGAAGGAGTTGATGGAATTTGAACAGACTCCAGAAACCACAGTAAACACTAAAAGCAATCCCTGTAACAGGTCATGGAGGCCTATAGGGTTGTGAGACATCTAGGCTCCCAACATTTTCTAGAGGACTCACAGATAGCAGTTTGATTGTCAGCCTTACATGCTGGCTGTCCTTAACACCCAGGAAGATTCCTGGTACTCATTTCTGTTTGAGGCTGAGTTGACCCCTGGGTCATAGTGCAGCTGGAAGGGTTACATCAATTGAAAAATTCAATGACATTGGGAACTGAACCCATGGCCTTTTAGCTTGTAGCATATTGCCTCAACCATCTACAGTTCCACATGTCTCGGTAAACCAGAGTACTCTGAGAAAACTTGCCACATTTCCACTTTGTCCACCACAAATCCTACATGACCTGGTCTGGGGCTGAATGCAGGTCACCATGGATAGCCAGTGACTTACCACATGAGCTATGGCACCTAACCATAATGTAGATCACAGAGACATGTAATCAATCTTATATTGACACCAAAGAACTCTAGGCCTATCATGCTACCTTTGTCTCTATACATACCACAAAATTGTATGAAACTATCCAATTTGACTGTGTATGTGACGATCCATTGTGGTGTAGGTTGTGCTCCATAAACGCTCTATAATTTTATTGTTTCCATATATACTTGTCCCATACCATGTTCTCTAGGATCTACAGGATGCATATATGTATGTCACATGAAAAAGTCTGCTGCTTCACACCAACAGCTCCACATTTTTTGTGGGGTACGAAGGTTGTAATTGCACTCGAAACCACTTTGCTGAACATAACCTCTGTGTTTGACAAATGATTACTGTGCTTGCAAATATTGAACATAAATTTATTATTATATATGGCCTGGGCACATTTCTCTATTTGTCGTAATTTGGAGATAGATTTCATTTAATTTACTTCACATCATTTGTCTGATTTAGTAAGCATGCACAGAACACGAATTTTGCGTTAAGATTATCTGTTGGTGAATGTAAAATACAAGGTCATCGCAATATAAAGTACAAACTTCATGCAACCTGCTTCAAAATTTGTGTGAATAACCTTAGGTCTGCCGACATAAGTAGAAACAAAGGCTGTCATCGTACGCGATGACTTCAAGTGCTGCGAAATACGATTTTTTTAACTCAAATATTTCATTATACCTTCAACATGAAACTGACTTCTTGTTTAATCTTTTTCTTAAGTTTCTCTACTCCTTTTATATTATTCATGCTGGACACGATCCCCATCAATTTCTCACCATCAACAACCTTCTCCCCTAGGCGTTTTATTAAAATCTCTTCTTGATCCATTTATGGAATATTTCTTTAACACTAGCTTCACATATACTTTAATACACGTATTTTAGACATCAATCTTCGTTACTCATATTCAGCATGTCTTCAGAACTCCGCAACGGTTCCTTCCTACACACTTCGAACATAACTACCGGGGTACCGGAGGAAACGGGCTATTGGCGAATATACTTATACTTCACCACCGGAGAGAGAGCACTCGGTACCGCTCGGTACCCATTGTATATGATGTTGGGTGGAACTCAGAGCCTGTCTTGACCGGTCTTGACGACGTAGACAAGTGAAAATTCTTGACCCTAATGGGACCCGAAACTCCGACCCCTCGGTCATCCAGCCCGTATTACTTCAAATATAAGACGCACATTTTACCAATTTTTCCCGTTGAAAAATCGAGGCGCGTTTTCAATTCGGGGAATGTGGGCCTTTCTATTTTTTCTCCTCTAACACCCACGTTCAAAAACTAGATGTTGAATTCGAGGGCGTCTTGTGTTCGAAGTAATATGGCATGCAGTCTTGATACTGACAGGGCAGGTAAATAATATATATAATAAGGGAATGCGCACAATGTGCATAGAGTAATTGTTTTCTATTCGCGACTTAATTCGGTTATTGATGTGGTTAAGTTTTTGCAGGTAAATAACCAACTAGAAAAAGATTCGCAGAGAGACCTGTCCCGAAATGCACCGTCTGTGATGTGATAGTCCGATGTGTGTAGGTAAATGTGAATAAGTGAATTTTATTTGGAAAGACTCGTCTGTACAACAGTATAGTTATTTTAAAGTTACTTTAACTGTCACCACTTCGCATGAAATACACAACCTTGTCTTCACATAACAGACAACTTAATTTTAAAATTCGTCCTGTGATTGGGTTAACGGTTCATCCATGCAACGGCGAACTAGTAGTGTTTAATTCTTTTTTTTTTAGACATAATACCATATAATTCGGTGAAAGTCGAATGAAGTTTTGGAGGAACATACCGCCTCTTCCTTCCGAAAAAAAAAAGAAGCCAGAATGAAGCAGGTGGGAAGCAATGCTTCCCAGATTGTTGTCTGCATTGTGCTTGTTTCTTCTTTGGCTTACTCTTCAATCCTGAAGATGGAGGCGTCATATTCCTCCGAAACATTGTCTGGTTGCCATTGGACTACACGGCGTTATAACCCCGAAGACTGCCAACGCCGCCAACGCTGTGAGAACCTCAAATGTAAAAAGCCGTGTCCTTTTTTCAACAACCATGGACGGTGGCCACCTGGATATGTCAGAGAAATTAGAATATATGTCGAGATATATGTCGGTAAGAAGTGTGACTATATTCAGTTCAGTTCCGATTTGCAATTTGGTAAAGACTGGATCTGCCAGATTTCCAGATTTTGCGATATTTTTATGAGAAAACAGCATGATTTTAGCATATCACACAAAACTAAGTTTCATGATATAGTTCTTTTCAGAATGTAGTGATGGCAGTGTTACATTTCGTTCCTCACTTCAGTATCATCAAGAGTCCCATGCTATGACGTCACAAAATATTGACTGAAAATAAACGCTGTTGAAATCTGACAATTTTATTTATTTTTAATGTCGATATTTCGCAATCAGAGTTAGCTACAATTAATTGGCACTGCAGGAATGGCAACTAGAGTTCCAGGTAAGAAGGTTTAAGTTAATTACAACCGTTCCTGAAGAAAATACAATTTTATAACCAACAAATTTGAATCTCCTAAGTACTCATCGTGATCTTGAAAATAGTGCTTTAGTAGTTCGGTCATTTGACATGTATTGGCAGTAGACCATATGACAGTAAACTTTGAAAGGCTGTCCATANCCAGTTGTGAGGGAGCACAGGTTTGGTCCTCCACCACCATGGGCACCTGGTGGAAGGGGCAGAGGTGCAGGGAATATGAGTAAAAGTCAGACGCCACCAGGAGGACTGAAGGGACCATGGCAAAGCCATAATCAGCACCATCAGCAAAAACCTCAACAAAAAATGCAGCAACAGCCATCACACCACCAACACCCACCACCACTGTTACAACAACATCCACTGCCAGCACAGCAACATCCATCTCCTCCACAACAACACCCACCTCCTCCACAACACACTTCACCCCCACAACAGCACCCGCCACCACCTCCACCAGAGCAGCAGCAACAAGAACAAGAACAAGAACTTGAACAGGAACAAGAACAACAGCAACCACCACCACCACCTTTGCCACCTCCACCACTTCCACACGAGCAGCAAAATGTCCAAAAATCTGACCAAGAATCTCAGTTGAAAGATGGAATTGCCAATCAGACACCAGTGCAACAAAATTCAAATGGTGCTGACTTAAGTGTAAGGAAACATACACTGAATGAGAATGGCAAGTGTCTTCTATATTTTATAATGGAAAGCTAAAAGTCAGTAGGCATCTTTTTGTGCCATGGTCAGTTTGATAGCAGAAGTATGCTTGAAGTGCCAGCATTGATGAGATTTATCCTTTGGCTTGCTATGTGTGACTTACCTAGTCAAAAAAGTACATTGTTGTAGAGGGTAAATGTAAATGTTTCATACCTAAAGGTAACAGGCTTAGTGATGATCTTAGTACATAACAACTGAAAAATAGCTGGGGTTTCATCCCCCCACCCCTCCTATGTATGGTCCTTGGGAGACTGACAGTGCCTACCATTATTTTTATTGCTGCATTAGCACAATGGACTGTCTTAGGAGTGGATTCCTTCATTATTGCCAGTCTGACAGCCAAAAACAACTTAAGATATTAAAGGGATAAAATATGAAGTATGAGAAGTAAATAAATGGACTTACATTGTTATTTAGCTTCTGGCAAAACTTATGCTGGTTGGAGTGTGAAATTAAATGATTCAAACCATCATTAGGATTTCTTTTGTTTTATAGTTTCAGTATTTTATTGTCACAGCCTTTTTATTTACCACAAAGAGTGTTGATAAAATTGTTTGAAGAGATAATCAAGGAAAAGGGAAATTTGCTAGGAACTTTCTTCAAGGTTGTTGTGAGAACTGAACCTTTTATTGAAAGTGGTGACTGATGATAAGGTTTTGGTCTTCCAGTATTGCTTACAAACTGTGGAATTATCCAATGAGAAAAGTCCAGGATCTTCAAAACTGGAAGGCATAAATATCAAAATAAAATTCACCATTCTAATCTTCTCTTCATGTCAGAGGAATTCGCCATTAAATTACAAATTTGTTACTGCAAAATGACATCAACCAAGAATTTTACCTTCAGGTTTTGGAATGTTTATGGCAGCACATTAATTGAAAAAGACAAAAATATTTTACGAGCCAAATTGATTTTGAATGATGACAGTGTCCCTTCTCACACAGCACTTTTGGTAATGCAACCTTTGATCAGGAAACGGATACCACTGCTGCAACATCCAGCGTAGGCCTACTCACTGCTTTGGCATGGGTGACTTCTATGTTCCAAAAACTAAAAATCCTTTTCAAAAGTTCTCATTCTGAATAAGTTGAAGGTACTCAAACCAGTACACTTTTATGTCATTTGTTACTTTGTCTTACTGAGTTATTCCAACACTACAGCTGTGCATTTACTTTGTTATAATTTTGTTTCTTTCTGAATGTATTGTTTCTTCCCTCCCTGTTCATTTTTGACATTACAAGCCACTGCACACTTTGGAGAAAGATGAATTTCACATTGTGCAAACCAAATATCCAAAATTTATTGCTGTCTTTAGAGAGCTGATAATGAATTGAAAAATATATTTTAATTGAATGTTTAGTGATTTTTTCAGTGACATTACACTACATCTGCAAATCTTGGAAAATGTATTTTTTGTTAAATATTGTTCTTTTTTCAAAAGCTAGTGTGGGAACCTGCCACATTCTAACACGCAGCTTCGCTGGTCTAACAGACAACATTCAACTTCTGCTCAAGCCAAGTCAATGTCACATTGCCACCAAAGGTTGTGTTTATACAGCACTCGCTTTCCGGCCCCCTTTGAGGGCATCGCGGGCGCTGGCCAATCAGCGCTCACAACCGCAACTGCACCTCTAGCTCTGCCCAGCAAGCATGGTATAATAGGCAGAGCTCAAAACTCGCTATCATCAGTTCTTCAATCGTCTTCACTCCACCGAAGACAGCTAACACAGCAATGCTGACATCATGAAGCAGCAGCTCTTCAGCAAGTAACACTGAGACAGCAGACTAAACCGGTGCCTGCACTACAGTGCCAGGCCAGCTAGACTCCTCTCACGCCGACTCGTAACCACCGAGTGGCCATAAAGAAGGCCCAGATTATCCGACTAGGCTCACCGCTATCCTGCCCACTTGTAACTGCTCAGTGACCATAAAGGAAGGCCCACACTACTACTAGCACAAGCACGGTGGAACAAACGGCCCTTTTCACGGCCCACAAACTTGTGAACAACATATATATATATCGAGACAGCTCCCCAGCCATTCTGTACATTTGAGAATAATATATGCAACTGTTATAGTTTTACGTGGTTGTCTCTTAGAACATCAACATCCCACACTAGCATCTCAGATGGACAGGTGAATGTATGTAACAGGCTTATGAGCACCACCTCCTCCCATTCAATTGTCTAATTAAATAAAATGTAACCAGTGGGTAATAATAATGCTGTTACTGGATGCAACTGTTTATTGCTGTTAGTCATTTATGGTAACAAAGGTTCATCTACTGCATTATTTACAATCATCAAGTACTGTAATACTGTATATGACATGTAAACAAGAAATACTATGAAGAACTTAACAATGCCTACATTCCTTCAGATGTTTCAGTCAGTATGGTGACACTATAAAAAACTATAAATTAATAGTTATACTACTACAGGGAGATTTTTTAGTAACTTGATGAGATCGTTGTTCGCTGCTTTACAGCAGCCAGTTCGCCTCCTGCTGCGAGTCGCATGTGAATTTTGCCGATGAATCACCCAATAATGTTTGGAATGAAGAGAAGTAATTAGCTTACAGACCGCTTGATGCTACTGTGTTTCATGGCAAGCAGTGCAGTTCATGTGTGAGAGTTTGTTATGGTTTTGTCAGCAGTTATCAGCTCCATTAGCCATCTGGTATCATTTACAGTTAGTGAGCATCATGGTGCTGTATACTTTAGAAGAATATGTACTTCTGTGTGATACCTATGTGAAATATGGATCTGCTGGAAAGTGTTGGCAAAAATTGCATGATTAAATAGTTCCCAGCAGACAAACAGTTCATAGTTTGGTGTATAAACTTGGAACAACAGGACTCTCAGTAGATAAAACAAATGTGCCGAGTGCTTACAGAGGAGAAGTTAGACGACATAAGGGCCAGACTTGAACATACACCTAGAAAGTCACTGAAATGTTTGGCTCATGAGACAGGAGTGTCAGCGTCTAGTGCAAGATCGGCAACACAGTTGCTGAAGCCATCCAGTGAACGTTGGTGTTTGGCGTGCTGTAAGTGCAAGAAGGATGTAGACAGGACAGCATTTTCAACACCTCCTGTGTTCTGTGAATTGTAACTGCTTCAATACAAACGTTATCGGCAGTCAGACATGCTGATTCATTGACATGAGGTGCAGAGCCATGAACTCGTCAAGTTACGAAAAAGCTCCCTGTATTTGATAATCCAATTACATATAAGATTTCTGCTAGTTCATATTACAGCTGTGTTAAATTTGTCAAATTCTGCACCCTTGCCATATTTTTATCTGTTGACATGTAAAACTAATGTCATATCGTGTATTTAGATATGTCTGATCTGTTTTCATACAAAATTTCACATCCATAGCTTTGTGGCTCATTAGTTATTGCTACCAAATTGAAAATTCAATGTATATTTTATATCATAACTATGTTATATTATGCAAAGAAAAATTGAAAACAACAGAAGTTTCATACTCTTTGAAGAGCTATTACTACACAGTCAAAATCCTCCCAACTTACAAGTTTGCATGATCCATGATGTTTGTATTATTGATGGTAGGAAAGTAAAAATTGCAAAGGTGGGTTGGCCTGCAGTGGCATAATATTCATATCACACTTCATGAAAATCTGTCTTAAGTTCAGATGTTATTATGGTGACACAAAATGAATGAAGCCCTGGACTTCAGTGTACTGTAAACCTGTCTTTCATTATAAAATAAAGAGAGTAGGCTGATATATTATAGTCATGATATTCTGTTTTCAGGGGGAGATAATGGATCAAGCCTGCCAGACAAAAAGAAGCCAGTCTTACCTAAGGAACTAACCTCTAAATTTGGTCCATTAAAATGTGATCTCTGTAAAGTTTCGGTGAGAATTTTGAATATTATAAGATTGCATCTTGTTTGTTTACTTTTAAGTCATAAGATAAACCATCACACAAACTACTGTTTTTTATTTCATATTATACACTACATCTTTTGACTATAAACAGTCATCATCTGGTCTTCACTTTCCAGATATGCTAATACATAGGTCATTGCCTTCAAGCATGCACATCACACTACATTAGCACATCAATCCATGTCTTCAAAGACAAACATTCTACTACATCAGTGAGCCTTCAAGGACCCACATTGTATTGTGTCAACATGTTGGTCTTTGCCTTCAGAAATACACATTGCACCACATTGATCAACTCTGGCTACTCACCAAGAGAAAAGCACCAGAAAGAATACTGAACAACTTAAAGCTTGGATTGATGAAGAATGCTGTGTACAGAAAATGGATACTTCCATTTTCTGTACACAGCATTCTTCATATAGTATAATAGTGTGAATCTCCATACATTGGAGAATATTTATAGTTAGATAAATATTGTCATTTTTACACTAGCATCTCTGTAAAATTAGGTTGGATCTGACCAAATTCTTTATTATTCCATCCGTATTTTTATTCATCTCCACATTTTAATAAATGTTTACATATAATCATATATATTTGGTTGAGCTGTGTAACACCCAATGATGACTGTTTCTGGTTGAAACATGTAGCATATAATAAGAAAAAACAAATGGGCTTTTAATGGGAGCTCATGTGGTGGTTGACCTCATGACTTAGAAGAATTTTGAACTTGAATTGTTTGAGAAATGCATTCTTTTACAGTAGCTCCAAATTGCAAATTTAACCATTACACATGACAGTATTTCTTTTATTGCTAGTGGGGTGGGACTAAGTCCCTTGTACTGCGGCCACTTCTGGCCTATTATACCAGTCCCAGATGATAGGTGAGGGTGATTGTGGAGCAATTGGTGGACTGAAGATTGGCAGGGGAAACTGAAGTACTCAGAGAAAACCTACCCCAGCGCCACTTTGTCCACCACAAATCCCACTTGACCAGACCCGGGATCGAACCCAGGCCACCGCGGTGGGAAGCCAGGGACTAACCGCTTGAGCTATGGCATGGCCTGACAATCAGTAAGAAGGGATTGTACTGCATTTTCTGAGGTGCCATACTTAAAAAGTTCAGTAGTTAGCTGTATTCAGAACTTATATAAACTGAGTAAATAGCCGACAATGAACACTGTCCAACATGTAATGGATAAATCACCCTTACAAACGACTGTGAGAATCATGGAAATTTTGGTTGCATGTACATTAAGCTCAGACAAATGAGTAAGGTAGACAGTTAGGTTGTGATCTTTTACTGGTCTGGATCTTTCCCACGTTGTCAAGGTTAAATAGTTAATAAAATGATAGTGGCCAATAAAGGGGACCTATAACTTAACATGAGTCCGAACCACTGTAAATGCCTGGTATTTAGAGTTTGTTAAAGGAGAAGGAAGCTGAAGGTAAGGAGAAAGATCTTGTACTGGGTGTTCAGTCATGATCCTAAGACCTGCATGGAAGGTCAGCCTCTTGCCCGTAGGCCACCAGGTCTTCCCATTTATGTCACAGTGGAATGGAAAGCAAGTTATAAAATGTTAGGCCAATGTATGGCACTAGTTTGGATAATCAAAGATAACATAATAACAGTATCAATAAACATTATGTATTGTTGTTATAAAACAGGTCTGTTCGATCAAGTTTCCGATTCCAAAACATTACAATTTCTTGAATTGCCAGCAAGTTTAAAGTAAGCCTAAAACTCCACTGAAAATTCTACACAATGAAATTAAGTAAAATTTCAAGTACAGTTGAAATTTTGTATGTTCTTTCTGAGAAACTCGTTGAAATTTTCAGGAATCTGTGCCCAAATCAGGACACTTGAAGAAAATTAATGACTTCATCACAGTTTTTTCAAATCATTTAAGTCACCATTTGTGTTTATTCTCATATTTGACATAGTTTAATTGCATCTGGTGTTGATATGATGTCATTAAACAACTTACAAATGAACGATTCACTTAATAAATCCATTTCTACTTAGCCCTGCACTTAAATTATAGATACTGAATGTTTAATTCTTCAAATAAAATTTGTTATTTATGCTATGTGTTACGAGATAATGTAACTACTTCCAAAATTTGTTTTACAGGTAAATTCAACAGTTCAGGCCAAAATGCACTATACTGGGAAGCAGCATGATAAAAAAGTGACCCAGTTCCTTGCCAATTGGAGCCAAGAGACTGGTGAACCTATTCCTTTGAGATTGAAAGATGGTGCATCAGCTCCAAAGAAGGTTCTGTTTCATGTGACAGACTGCACAGTTTTGACATATCTAAGTTTCTTTCTTGCTATCATCCATCTACACTTTATTATGCACTTTTTTAACTTCACTTGCAGGAATGTTTTGGCTGAGCATCCATCTGTTAGATGGTAGTTTCCAAGTGAATGCTTCCTGTGTGATTCATAATGTGTCTGTACTTATGTTTGTCTCTTGTTTATTACAAATTCTAGAAGTGTGTTTGGATTAGCATATTGTTTATTTATAATTAATCAGTCTTTACTGAAGTGTGTAAAGCTTCCCATGTATCTCCTACTTGGTCTCTTACATTTTTCCATACTCATGTCATGCCCAGGATGTTTTGCATTTTTTGATTTTCCTTACTTATTTGATGTTATGGATATGTTCATCATATTGAGGCCTGAAATATTTGCCATTTGTCTTATATTCACTTTGTTTCATTGATGACACTGAAGTTTATATATTCCATTTTATGTGTGTTTTATTATCTTCCTCCTGTCATATAGCTGAATTGCGAACTATGATGTTTACTCTGTGTGTGTGTGTGTGTGTGCATGCATGTTTTTCCCACCAAACAGGTCAGTCCAATGGTAATGCTCTTGACTTGTATTTTGGAGGAGGTCTGTTTAAATCTTGGCCACAACACTTGACTCAGGGCTTTCAAGGTTTTCGCCACCCCCTCCTGGAAAATGCCGAATTGTTTTCAGTTTATTATTCATCTGTCATTCTACCATTCAGTACTGTAGTCTGTGATTCTTTAAACCTATAAAATAAACCACTCAAGAAAAAAAAAAGATATATATCTACATATACGTGGTGCAATCTAAAAGTTCCCGAAATATATTAATAAAAACTATTACATCTTACCTAGATCTTATTCTGCACTATCACCTTCAAAGTAGTCCCCTTGGGAGCGCATACACCGATTCCAGCGTTTCTGCCACTTTTCAAATGCATCCTGGAAGTCTTTCTTTGTTAGGGTGTTTAGTACCGTCTGCGTTTCCGCTTGAATTTCCTCAACTGTATCAAATCTTCACCCCTTCAACTTGATTTTCATCTTGGGGAAGAGAAAGAAGTCGCATGGAGCTAAGTCTGGCAAGTACGGTGGGTGGGGAACAACTGCCAACTTGTTTTTAGCCAAAATTTCCTGCACAATGTAAGCCGTATGCGGTCGTGCGTTGTCATGGTGGAGTACCCAGTCGTTCGTGCGCCACTTCTCTGGACGTTTTCTCCTCATGTTCTCCCTCAAACGCCTTAGAACATCGCGATAGAACTCTTTATTGACTGTCTGACCAGGAGGGACAAACTCCTTATGAACAATCCCGTCAATATCAAAAAAACAGATCAACATGGACTTAATGTTGCTCTTGACTTGTCGAGCTTTTTTTGGCCGAGGTGAAGAAGGGCTCTTCCATTGCGACGATTGCTGCTTGCTTTCAGGGTCATAGCCATATTTCGTCACCAGTGACAACTTTCAAGAGAAAGTTTGGATCCTCTTGAAGCTGTTGCTGAAGTTCTCTGCAGACTTCCAAGCGATGCTGCTTCTGTTCATTTTGCAGCAGTCATGGCACAAACTTCACCGCAATCCTCCTCATGTTCAGTTCCTCTGACAAAATTCGTTGACATGTACCATAACTTAGTCCCAAGGTGTTACAGAGGTCTTGGGTGGTCAGTCTACGATCTTGCAGAATCAGATCCCTAACTTACGCAACATTTTCTGGTGTTTTGCCTGTTGACGGCCGTCCCGAACGATTGTCATCATCAGTCAATGTTTGGCCATTTTTAAAACGCCTATTCCAGTTGTAAGTTTGTGTCTGGCCTAAACTGTTTTCACCAAAGGCTTGCTTCAACATTTGGTGCGTTTCTGCAGCTGTTTTCCCAAGTTTCAAACAAAACTTTATACAGACACACTGCTCTCTCAGGTCAGCCATTGCAAAACCACAAACTCATGGAAACACAACAATGGAAATACATTCACCAACAATAAACCCAACCACTCAACAACTCGACGCCGCTTGCCACACTGATTCAAGAAGGATGTGTGAGGAGACACCTAGCGGTATTATCATGTAGTCATAACAATTCGCGTGCAAAATGCAAATTTTGGAAACTTTTGCATTGCCCCATGTATATTGGTGTTTCTGAATATCTTTCTCATGTCATTATTTGGTTTTCAGAATTCATGAACCTTGACCATTACAATTTTCTCTTATTTTCATTCTCCCTCTTCAATTTTGTATTGTTCTCTACTGCACTTTCTCATGATGCCATTTGGATAGTTATTTTATATCTCTGTTTTCCTTACAATGTTTAGTTCCGTGTTCCTATTTGTATTATCAAGTGATATGTTGTCTCTTCTATCTAGCATATATTTGGATGCTGCTTTCTTATGTTCTCCTGGATGACAGGAGTTCTTGTTTATTATTATTATATCTGCTTGTCAGTTTCCTATATTTCCAAACTTAATCCCGTTTTCTAACCTGTGTACTATTAGGTCTGAGTAGGTTATTGTATTAACTTATTTTTGTAGTATGAATTTTATTGAGCTGCACATGCTGTTGAGTTATTCACTTATAATAATGGTGTAATGTGCACCATGGAAATGTGTTCAATTTATATATGTTAAAGAGTGAAAATAAATAAGTCTTAGGATGTTAAGTTCTTTGAACTGATGCAGAAGAGAAACTTTTTGCACCATGACATATATGCTTATGTTTTTTTTTTTTTTTTTATAATTTTTTTACTCTTCTGAGCTCCTGTCTCTGGCAATGAAAGCATGTCATAGGATATTACCGTACAGAGTCTGCAATCATGATTATCCCCAGTGGAGCATAACGCAACCCATAAAAGTAATTTTAAAGTATCAGTATAATCCATTTCTTATGTGGGCCTGATGAATGACCACATCAGTTAACCATATCTTTATGATCCACACACAATATTTTAACTTCCATTTCCATAGTTTAGGGTGTGTTTTTGATATGACAAATAGAGAAAACTTTAGTATTTATGTCTAATGAAGTCAATAAAGCAAGACAGTTTGAGAGCCTACAACATTAGAACTACTGTTGGGAGGGATTTATGAAGTGCACTATGGAGATGGTCTCGGGTGGCTTGATATACAAGGGCTATTCAGAAAGTAACTTCTGTTTATTTCAGGCAACTAATGTAGAAGTAGAGGAGAACTCATGCATGTGAGGTAGCATCACATGATTCATTGCCTTGTAAACCATCACATAACTGGTCACCTAGTGTTTGTTCTTGTCTGTACATAGTGGAGTTATGATGTGTCCTGCAATTGATAATCACGCCAGCTGCAAAATTCATGCCGTTACCAGCTTTGAGTGCTGCAGAAATGCATCATGAATTATGTGCAGCTTACGGCCGAAATATAATAATTGAAGGAACTGTAAGACAGTGTTGTAGAATGGTCAAAAATGGGCAAACAGATGTTCACGATGAAGAGTGAAGTGGTCGGCCATCTGTAGTGAGTGATGATCTTGTTTAAAGTGATGACCAAAATACTTAAGATAGAACTTTTGTGAGAATGTTCACAAATTTCACACACTGTTCTCTATGAGATTATCACAGTTAGGCTAGGCTATCACAAGTCTGGCACAACTTGGGTTCTGAAAATACTCACGGATGTGCACAAAATGCAGAGAATGGCTTCAGCTTTTGTAGACTTTTTTAGAGCGATACCACAAAGATGACGATGGATTTCTCAATCACATCATGTGCATAATAGGTGATGAAAGCTGGGTTTCATTTGTGATTGTTGAAACCAAGGATCAGTCAAAGCAGTGGTTGCGCACACATTCACGAAACAAGCCGAAGAGGTATAAACAAACGTCCGCCACAAAGCTGATGGCAATTGTTTTCTGGGACAGGAAAGGAGTGATGGTGGAATTCATGCAACAAGGGACCACAATAATGTTACAAGTGTGTTGCAAAAGAATAAAAAAAACTACACAAGGCCAGCCATTTAGAACAAAAGGCATGGAATGCTGACATCTGGTGTAGTGCTTCTCCATGACAATGCATGTATGCATACAGCTGATCACACTCAAACAGTCCTGGAGCATTTCAACTGGGAGTTGTTTGACTGTCCCCATTACAGCCCTGATCTCACTACAAGCGACTACCACCTGTCTACTTGTACCTACCTGAAAAACTTGCTGTGATCACAGCGCTTCAACAATAATGAGGAGTCAGTGGAAGGTGTCAAAATGTGGCTGAGCAAACAGGCGGCAGACTTCTCTTACACAGGCATGCAGAACTTATCCCCAGTGTAACAAGTGCCTCAGTTCCAGAGGTGATTATGTTGAGAACTAGCTTAAGTGTGTACATACTTTTTATATATAATACTTTTTTTTTCTCGTTGCTTGTTTTGTTAACAGCTTATCGGAGGTTACTTTCTGAAGAGCCCTCATATGTACCAAGTTTCATGATGATTGGTTGGGTATTCAGGTAATAATAAAGTAATTGGCTCAACAGTTTGAAGGCTCCAGTGTTGATATTATTGATGTGAGGGATTTATGAAGCATGCTGTTGAAATGGCCTCATGTGGCATGATATACAGGAAATATTTTTAGTAACTTGACAAGTTCACAGCTTTGCACTTCACAGTGAGCAGTGAATTGCTTGCTGTGAGGCACATGCGAATTTTGCCAATGAATCAGCATATCTGATAGCCGATAACGTTTGGAATGAAGTAGTTACAATTCACAGATCACAGGAAGGGTTTGAAAATTCTGTCCTCTCTACATGTAGATTTTTTTGCCATTAATTGTTTCATTAGAAAACACAGATGCAACAATCCTTGCACTTACATCACACCAAACACCAACTTTCACTGGATGGCTTCAGCAATTGTGTTGCCATTCTTGCACTAGACTTTGACACTTCTGTCTCTTGAGCTAGACGTTTCGGTGATTTTCTAGGTGTATGTTCAAAGTCTGGCCCCTATGTCATCTGTCTTCTCAGTAAGCACTTGACATTTTATGTTTTTGTTTCTTATCTATTAAGAGTCCCATTATCTAAGTTTATTCAGCAAATTGTGAATTTTTTGTCTGCTGGAAACTCTTTCATCATGAAATTTATGTCAAAATTTTCTCCGACACTTTCTAGTAGATCCATATTTCATATAGGTGCCATGCAAAAATTCACATTACTTTAAAGTGTACCACACCATTACAGAACATGCCACTCATTCTGCTCCATCTAATGGAGCTGATAACTGCTGCCTACTGCTGACAAATCGTGAACTCTCACACATGAACTGCATGGCTAGCCGTGAAGCATAATGCCATCAATCGGTCTACAAGTTGATTACTTCTCTTCATTTCAGTTGTTATTGGCTGATTCATCAGCAAAATTTGTATTCTTCTGTTGGCAAGCAGCACACTGCTAGCCGTGAAGCACAGAGCAATGAACTCATCAAGTTACTAAGAAGTATGTATTCCTACAACATTTTATGATGATTGGTTTGGGCATTCAAGTAATATTCAGGTTATTATCTCAACAGTCTGAGAGGCTGCCATGTGACATTACTGATAGAAGGATTTTATGACATACACCATAGAGATGGCCTCATATGACTTGATATACATATGAAATTTCCTGAAAATCACTTAAGATATTCAAAAGTTATTAGGCGGGATGCATGCTTGCTGTCACGTGCACGCGCGCACACATACACGTGAGTGCTCAGAACAAGGTGATCTCTTTAAGCTTATTTTATTTAATATACTTTCTTTATCATAACCTGTGACTACTGTCTGAACTCCAATCTGTGTAACGTTAAAAACCACTTATGCCTCCCACATGCAAATATGTCAGTGAAAAACTGTTTCTATTACATTTTTACAAATGACATCATTTCTACATCCATAAGTATGTCCCAAGCAAGTTGACCTAACTGTATTTGGGAGGCACCTGGCTCATATCTAGGCCATGACAGAATCCATAACCATTTCTCTCCCAGTGCTCTTAAATTCACCAGGAGTAATCTCTTTATCATTTAGCACTTCATAACCTCTACTAGTGATTCCGCTTTGTTAAGTTACATACAACTGAACCTGTGATTTACAGTCCATTAAGTACAGGGAACACTTCCCTTTTTCTCTCCACTTCTTGTGAGAAACCACTCATATTGTAGCATTGATATGTACTGTTCTTTGTAATTTTACTTTCTGTTTCAAATTTTCAGGTATCGGAAGTAAAGTTAAGGCAACAGATCTGTTCTGTCACTGCTATAGGTGATGGTTACAATGGGGATGAATATTGGGCGGCTTAGTGTGTGTCTGGAGTGCTCAGTCCTATATGTAGAGTTTATTACTAATTTTGTTCAGGCACGAGTGGATCCACGTTATCTATATTGCTCGGTATGTGACTTGGCACTGACTTCACAACAACATGCAGAGCAACACTTTATGGGGCGAAATCATCAACGTGCTTTGGAAGGACATGCACCACTTAAGGCTGGTTACTTCAACAAGGAAACTGGACGATGGCAACGGTAGTAAGTAGACTTTGCAACATTTTAATGTTAATGTTTGTTATGTCACTCTTGTGTGCAAGAATTTTGTTTGTATGCATCATGAATTTTTGACTGGCAAAGCAACATTTCTGTCCATGGCAGGTACCTGAAATGCAATGCAACAGTTAGAGCAGAAATGCAGGAATGGCATATGGAACTAGTACAGAGTCATGAGAAGAATCTTGCTGTTATTGCATGTTTATGATGATCAGTGCATTATGCAGATCTAACTAATGCTTAGAAACCAAAACTAGCTTAACCTGAATTTTGGTAATGACATTTCTTTCACACGAGACATTGACTATGCTTTATCCTCTATCATGAAATTACCTTGGGGCTGTGCACATATTTGGTGATCTTTCTTCAGGTACTTTTCTGTACATTTTTATGTACCATCATGGAATATACAAAGCCCCAAGGGTTCATATTTGTAATGCAATATAATTTAAATTTCTACTGAGTATAGTGAATGCCACTTGTAAGGTTTCTTTCGGAAGCAGCGGAATTGAGCACTAAACTGAAGAATGTGTTATAATTAGGGACTGGATTTTTATGCCCTTATAGTCCCTTAAATATGTATGCATTTATGCATGAAAAACTTCTGAAATATGCACATAAAAATTTATACCAAATATTAAAATTGATTTTACATTATTTTAAGACCAACAAATCAATATTTAAGTTCATTTTATGTAATCACTGAATGGTTCATTTGCAATAAAAAGCTATTCATTCATTCATCAGTAATCTGTCAGATGACAGGTCCACAGTCTTTTCCAGCAAGGGAGGCCCTGCCAGTAGTTACACTACCGCTGGTATAGCTCTCAGGGTCCTTGGCATAATCAAACCCCATCACCACGATAAGGTGGAGACACCAACGAGGGGAAAAGGCTATACTTAAATACAAATCATGCAACAAAGCTAACATATTTCATTACAAATTTAAAAAACCATTGGTACTCACATTTAGCTCTCCGAACTTTCAACTTCTCTTCTGTTGCAGTTCACAGTTACTAAATGTTCTAGGTTTCCCCTAGTTAGTCGCCTCCTATTGTCTCGTAAGATGTCCTTATAGCGGGAAAAACTTCTTTCCACCTCACAGGAACTTAGGGGCGCATGTACCAAAGCCGCTATTTGTCCACTGTTAGTGATATTTTACTTGGCAGTTCAGTATGTTTACCGGATAAAATTTCTTCAGTTTCACAAAATTTGTTCATATCCTGGATTTTCTTAAAGAATGCTGTGTACTTTTTCCTTTACTACTTCACCTACTCTTCCAGGAACCGAATTCAATTAGGAAACAGTGGTTTTGAACACACTTAATGACTGATACAAAGTAGTATTGGTATTGCTTGCCTCCAGTGAGGAAATGGCAGATGGAAGATGAGAGAAGTGAGCAGATATATAGGAAAGATTAGTTTCTAGTTCTGCGCTTTTTAGTACATCTTGGGCAATTTGAATTGATGCTGCACTTTTGGGATCAAATATATTCACAACATTCCTAACTGTTTCTAAATGTTCAGTATAATAACTCACTGCACACAGCAACGTGCCCTAGCACGTTAAAATTGGTTCTGGCAGAAGTGGAACGCTTGGTGTTGTTGCTTTAAAGGCCTCTTTTCTGTATGGCGCTTTAACAAATACCTTCTTCACAGAAGACACCAACTTGTCAACAAGCGGAAAATTCGCACGAATTGTTTCTGCAACACGGTGCAACCCATGGGCAAGGCAAGTCAAATGTCTCATGTTTGGAAGTATAACTTTAAGAGGAGTACCGGCTTTTTCATCATATAACTTGCGGCATCAGTCACAAAGAGCAATACACGCTCATACTGAATGCCATTCGGCCATAGTAAATTCATGGATTTGATAAAAAATCCGGAAACTGCGGAACTATTTGTGGTTTCAAATTGCTCTACCGCAAGAAGATATGGGATAGATTGTTCATTCTTATTAAGGGATCCAACTGTGCAATTTGCAATAAACCATCCCTCACAATCTTGTGTTTCGTTGATTGATACCCACACAAAACTATCTTGAATCTTATCTCTAATGGTTTCAGTTGTAAGATCGTAACACTGCTTCACGTAATTTTTGCGCACAGTATATTCATCCGGCACTTTGCACTGTGTATACTTCTCAATGAAGTTTCTCAGAGTACGATTGGTTAGTTTTCACAGTGGAATATCTGCCGCTAAAAAGGTTTCGCATAAATCAGAGGAAAACTGAAAAACTATTATTAGAAAATTCACTAAGCAATATTTGAACAGGAGCACTTTTTGTGAATTTAATTTTAATATTCTCTTTATGTATATTAGTGTTCAAATGCTGAAGCACTTGAAAGCGTTTTTCACAACCGTTTTCTCACATGTTCGGCAATAAAGAATTTCGTTATCCTTTGTACTCCCGCTGATACAGCTGTAATTTAGTTTTCCGACTTACTTTCACTTTCGGCATGACTACAGAAAGCTAAACAAACTTAACTACAGGCTAGTCACCACTAATGTGAATGGCCCCCAGCTTCAAATGAAGAAGCGTAACAAACCTCATGGAGACTTCGGAAATAAATAAGTCCCTTATGTGTTGAATAGTATTACGTTGATAGCTGCTACATGTGGACGCTTCTGACTAATCTCTTCACAGCCACTTTGATGGTACGCGGATGGGGCAAGTTACGAGTACAGGGATCAAGGTTGAATCATATTACATTGATAGCGGCTACATGTGAACGCTTCCGACTATCTCTTCGCGGCCACTTTGATGATACGCGGATGAGGCAAGTTACAAGTACAGGGATTGAGGAAGTCCCGTCCTGGGTATTGCATCAGAAACATGAATCATAACAAAATGTTGAGTCAAATATGCAACATATTCTAATACGGAAAAGAAAAATTGTATACACCAGATCATAATTGAAAACATAAAATTAAAATATATTAAAACATTTTAAAAGGGAAATATGCAGTATAAATAGAGATCTTCGAAAATATGATGCTTATTCATAAAAAAGGCAAAATATGCATTTATATGCACCATCAAATCATATCCAAAATTGAAGAAATGAAGTAATTCATACATATATCCAAACGAGCATACTTTCTGGTTGCAAGAAAGAAATATGCATTTGATTAAAATCTGGTCCCTAGTTATAATGAGGAAGTTTAACACTCATTATCGACGTTGAATATTTAACTGAAAAACATGATATTGGGCCTCCACTGTATTAAAAGTGACCAGAAAGCATAAATGTAAAACCAAGATGTCAGAAAACATCTAGAAACACCACAAGAAAATTTGGTCAGATTAAGGACAGAGTGGCATGGATGGCAGTAGAATTCTTTGACGTCTTCAAGAATGGAGAGGGCAAGTGAAGGAAGTGTACAGAACAGAGTAGGGAGAGGGTGAACACAGATAACAAGTTGAATGCTGTGGGAGGACACATAACTGTGGAAAGGATTTTGTCATACAATGGCCCATATCCTTTTTCTTCATTTTAGTAGTGGGGGAGAGCTGAGTCACTTTATGCTGCAGCCACAAACGAGCCTATCATGTCAGCCCCAGATGACATGATTAGAGAGCATTTGCAGAATGATAATTAGCAAGGGACAAATCTGCCCCATTAGGACTTTGTCCACTGCAGATCCTCCATGGACTTCCCTGGGATTGAGCCAAGGCCTCTGCAATTAGAGGACAGTGAGTGACTAACTGCCTGGGCTATGGTATAGCCTCATAACCCATTTTAGCAGAAATATTATTGGATGAAGATGACCTTTTCAGATATTCCTCAGAATGAAGTGTGCTTCTAATGTGTCAGTCTGATTTTCAGATGTGATTTGAATGAAGAACTTCTTAAGGACAAATGGGAGCAAAAAATATTTTCTCATCCATACCTCAGTTGGTTCTATATTGTGTTGGCCCAGTTGTTACAGCCAATTTTATATTTTAGCATGTAGATCCATTGTTATCTAATGACTGTATTGTATTGTATTGTATTGTATTGGCTCTGTGAACAGTGCCTGTTGCTAAGCAACAGATTCGAAACATGCATTAATGGACTAACTGGGAAGCAGTGTTCTCTGCATGGACCATGTGACACAACACTATAAGAGCTGTTTGAGAGGTGTTTTCTGTGCAGTCCATATTGAGATGTTATAAGCAGGACTAGTCTAGAGTTTAGGTATTTGGAAGGGAGTCACCAGCCAGTATGGACATTAACATGAAAGCTAAGGAAGCTACAGTATTGGAAGTCATTACCAGGTGGCAGCTGGTGAAGATAAAGCAGATTGAGAAGACTTAATGCATACTGTAATTAATTGTAGTGTGTGTGTGAATTAGTGATAGCGCTGTAGTTACTTGCAGTTACATTCTGTAAGAGTTCAGAAAATCCAATTACCAATCCAAACCACATTTGTAGTCACTTCTACACTTGACAGTATGTACTTATTTCAGCCCACTGTCTGAAAAATCTGAACCAGCAGGAAGATATCCAGTTTCTCCACAAGCAACTGATCATCATGGTCTCTTGGATTCCTTACCAGACCCATCTTCTGCTAAGAAAGGAAGGTAAAATGTTGGTTCAATGACTTTTACATTATACTTTACTAACTAATGAATTAATTTCACAGCTCACAATGCTGCTTGAGAAGATGATACATTCTCAGGTGGCAGAGAAATTTCCATCTGAGGAACTTGAACGTTCATTGTCATGTTCACAAGAGTCTGCCAGTGGACTCTTTCCTGATCCAGTTGAATTGAGTCCGTATGTTCACATTCTAGTTCTAAATAAATAAATGCAGTCAACACTCTAATAGTCCAATCCTCTGTCTTGGCAGCAGCAGGAAATAGTTTTTTGTGGGAGAGCCTGTATTATCAAGTTTACAATCAATGTTAAATGTTTTGTATAAGCGTGAAGCATTAGGTATCATGTGAAGCCCTCCAAAAAATAAGTTTTATTAAGTAATAACCCATGTTGCTTCATCAAAATTTGGGTTGCATGATAGCAAAATGTACATCAGTATCAGAAAGAATTGCAAGAAGTTTTGCTCTACCATACAAAGGCAAGATGGGTGCATATAGCTTAAGCAAATCATTAGCCACTCAGTCACAGAAATGGATGAAGGCATGTCACAACAGTTGAGGTCTTCGTTGATTTTGGATCAGCGTTGTACATGTGTTGATCTTTCACTTAAGAATGTCATTGCATCATACAATTTCCATGCTATATTAACAAAAGAGCTGAAAATGCATAATGTCGGAGCACAATGGGTCCCACTCAGCCCAGCACAGGCTCAGATAAGGAATTGCATGTGAACTGCCATGTTGCTGTTTGAACATTATGCACGTGAAGACCAAATGTTTCTTCACTGGATTGTAAGAATGAAGGAGACATGGACCCAGTAAATGGCGAATAGATACATGGCCTTTTCATGAGCTGCCCAGACATTGCGATCAGCCACAGCCTTGAACTGGCAGTGAAATACTGTCCAGGGTGTGGATCCATCAAACTTCAGTATCTGCACAATGACAATGCATTTCCTTGAATTCATTCTGGCTCTGCATCTTGTTTGGACATCTGCTGCTGCTAACTGCATCTGAAAGTCCTGATATGTGGCTTTCAGGTTCGTCGAGTCAGTTTTGCATCTCTTGTCAACTGCAGCATACTACTTAACTCCGTGTGAAGATTCTAGGCCTTCTGTTTAACCAGTGCCATGATGCACATGTGAACTGTTTTGTCTAATGTGTCTGCTGTTCTTTCTTTGAATTTGCTCTGACCAACCTCTGTTAGCACTTGTTTCACTTTTGAGTCATTCTTGGCTGGTGCTGATTTCCTTTTCTTTTAGCTCGTCTTGGCCAGCTGTCAGTTTTTCTTGGCAGGCTGCTTCTTTGTCTTAGTAGGTCACCGTTTTGTCTTGGCTGACTGCCACTTGGTTTTTGCAGTTGTTCATGTCCTTTTGAGTTTTTCTTGGCCAACAGTCACTTATTAACTTATCCAGAATTGGTTATAATGCTGTTTCTTCTTTGATCCCACTTCTGACTGCAGTTTTAACAATTATTGATACTTGGAGCAGTTACTCCACTGGTCACAATACTGTGCACATTCTTCCCTTGACTGAGCTGCACTGCACTGAACTGTCAACTGCTGACTACTCACTGACTGCACTTATCCAAATACTGAAAAATTCACTGCCTTTTATTCCATATGTCATCACTTCTCAATTGCACTGCACTGAGAAGTGAGCTGACTCATTTCCGCTATTTTTTGTAGGCGCATCACTTGTATTGAAAGCTCTAGAATCTTTACATGTGACCTCAGGCTTCATAATATGCCAAGCGGTTTCCCAAACATTCCAGAAGTTCAGGGGTCATAGTACTTCAATAGAACCAGAGATGGTCACATGCCAGATGATGCAATCTCACTGTACGCCCTTCCTGTGACTGTATATACAAGTACAATACACAGAACAGGGCATTGGCAGAATGATAATTGACTGGCAAAAATCAAAGTACTAGGGAAAATACCTGCCCAAATGCCACTTTGTCCATCACAAATCCTGCATGGAGTGTCATGTGACTGAACATGGGCCTTCCTGTTGAGAAGCCGACAGTTAAGTCACCTGAGCTGTTACACTGTCCATGTAGTCACTCCATTCAAAGCATATGTTAAAAATTGGATATTCCTTTCTTCTGTGTTCCAGGTTTTTCTGTGATTTGTGTCAAGTGGCAGCTACATCTCAGGACCAATTGGACATGCATTTTAATGGCAGTAAACATAAGAAAGCAGAGAAGGCAGCAGGTGGTGCAGCGCTTGCTGGAATATGGAAAGCACCTGCTCCTGTGGTTGTGCCCATCCCACCTCCAGGTATCTCTCAAGTAAATGTTGAAGACTGGATCGCATTTTAATCTTTAGACCGTTTGAAAATTCTCTCCAAAATAGTAGTCTCTTCTATTTTGTTATGAATAATTTAATATATTGTGACACATTGCCAGGCAGCAGCTCAGAAAACACTTTCTGTGCTTGGGCCGTGCTGAGAGGATGTATGAGAATACAGGAATGGGAATTCACTTCACTTGAGTTCTGAAGTTCCAAGGGAACAGCAGTGTGACCAGAAGGAAAATTAGAAGATTAGTGTATGGTGTTATATATGCTGTATATCAATATTGGGAGAGTGTAATTTAGTGAGACTTTTATAGTTCTTGTGTTACAAATCTGTTGCCAGGAAATGGATAGTGAAGATTAGTGTGGAGTGATTGTATATTGTGTAAATCAGCAATAGTGTAATAATTTGCAGTTATAACCTGTAGGTGGTTAATAAATACAATGACCAATCCGAACCCCATCTTTAGTCTCTGATGCACGTGACAATACGAGTATTGTGAAATCCCCATTGTTCAACTGAGATCAGTGAATTCATCTAATCAAGCTACATGAAGTGATAACACAACTGACTTGTGTTTAGAAGGTGCCCAGTTCAGGTGTTATCCAGGCAACTGAAGTTTGTTATGGTTTTTCCCTCATCCCTGCAGGTGAATGCTAACATAGTGCCTTAACCTGGACCATGACCACTTTTTTCCAATTTATACATAATCATCATTTCATATGACACTGAATAAGAAATACTGGGGATCCTTGAGTGGACTCAGCAAGCAAAGGGACTCATACAAGGACCCTCTACTAAAAGAGCGAAGGAACTGTTGAAGTTAAACAGGAACCAGCTACGATGGGTGGTAAGACTACTTACAGGACACCTCTTCAAACTGGGACTGACTAACAGTCCAACTTATGAGAGGTGTCAAGAAGAAAATGAAACAGCCACACATATTCTGTGCGAATGTGAGGCCTTAGCTTATTTAAGATTGCGTCACTTGGGTCAGTGTTATATGGAATCAGGTGACTATTTTGACATCCCCACATACAAAATCCTACACTTCATTCGAAGCGCAGGATTGCTGAGGGGATAATCAGAAGGCGAAGCACTGTGGTCATGGTGCAAGGGCCAAGAAGGCCCACCCCTTATACATTCATTCATTCAAGGTCCACAGTTGATGGAGTGCTATTAAGTAACCTGTAAAGCATCTGAGAAAAGATTTAACACCCTAACTGATGACAGTCTTTAACTGAAAAAATTTTATGTATGTAATCAGACTGGGTTTATACAAATTGAGTGCAAAATAAGGGAACATCTTAAATGTAGAAACTAACTGCATGATGCAGTTTTAAGATTTTCTGCCCATACAGTATCAAATTCTTGTGGCACAGACATTGAACACTAAATGAGAAGTATAGTAACAAATAAAAAAAAAACAGCATTTACAAATACGAGTACATTTTGAACAATACAATCTTAAGATTCATTTTTAGTTAAGTCACAGTGCTCCCTAATGCTGCAAATATGAGAGCTACAATTTTATCTATAGATATATTAATTTTAACTTTTACACATATAAAATTGTACTCCTTAAACTGAATTAAATGAACTTTATCATCTGTTCAACATATGTACAGCTGTGCTGGCACATATGCTGATTCAGCAGACTTCAGTAGGCCTAAAATTGTCACAATGTTTACAGTATAAATCGCCTTACTGCCAAGTTTAAATCCACCCACCAGTGCCATAAAAGAAATAGAAATATAACATAAATTAGTTACATGTTGTCATGTGCACGCTTCTGACACCAGTTGTCACATGTTAGTGACTAGATGTGAGGTTTGGATTGGTAATTGAATTTATCGAACTCTTATAAATCGTAGATACCAGTAATTATAGCACTCTTGCCGATTCATGCCCTCAACTTCTCAATACAGAAATGCACTCAAATTCTCAGTACAGCCCACAGTAAGTCTTCTCAGTTTGTCTTCACTAGCTGTCACTCGATTATGGCTCCCAACTGTGTAGATCCCTCAGCTTCCATTTTCACTGTCACATGGCCAACTCATTACTCAGACTGTCGACTCTCAACTAATGAACTTGTCCCATTGGTTCATATTATATAGCCTGAGGTCACACCACACAGAAAACACTGTCTCCAACAATTCTTCTATTGTCGCATGTTCATTCATTGCCTACCAATATGTCACTTTTATAATGACATAGTAGCATGTTAACTGTGCCACTGTTTAGCAACAGATGATGTCTCTTGTTAAGCTGTTTGGTCATGTCAGTATAATAACTGAAAAATTAATTTTCAGTGCCAACTGATTCTATCCTTGCTAGTGTTATTAAGACTGAAGATAGCACATCTCGCAAAGCAGGGATCAAAGATTATTCTATATATAGGACACCTTCAGGTAAGCATAACATGTTTCTACTTATGACATGTGAACTCATTTTAACTGTAGTCCAGTTCAATGATAGAGATGAGAATTTGACAAGTTCTCCGGTCTTATTGAAACTGTTACAGTTATTTGGTCAAATGAGTGGTGTCCAAATGCCTCATTATTTTGTACTAATTTAGCAATTAAAGTGCATGACCTTATAATTCATTTACACCTGTGAATGAATATGATGTTCTTGTGATTATGGTATGTGTATTATGCCAGTTCGCATCCTTTCATGGTTTTAACTTTGTAATCTAAACTCTTTACTATGGGCAGCTCTCTGTTGGGCTCTCCGTGTTGTCTAAATAGGAAGCACCTTCAACAGTGTTTGCCTTAAAATTATTTTTGTTTATGAAGAAATTAACAGTTCCTCATAAGAGTTACATTCCTGATTAATTTAATGATTAATCAACCGATTAAAAGAAAAATATATTGCTATTTGACAGCCTTAATTTTGCCCATTTCTTTGCATGTGGCATTTAAGTATTTGCTGTTTGTGAATTTTTGCATCATTGCTTCTTTGAATTGAAGCATCCATCTTGCAGTGCTGACCTAGTAACGTTATTAGTATGTTATCCGAAAGTAAATCACCAGACCAGTATTCCTCCTTATTTTGGAAGTCCTGGGTTCAGTTTTTGACCTGAAGGGCAACTGTTCTGTCTGTGGTTTTCATCAGTCTCTCCATGTACTAGGGGCATTCAAAAATGATTGAAACTAAATGTTTTTTCTTCACAGTAACCATTTATTGAAACAAAATATAGATTATATTAGAGGTATTCTCTGCCAATGTCTTTTCACCTTTGTCATCATCCCGGCGCCACTGCTGGACAACTTCCTGAAGCTTGTCGTTGAAGGTGAATGTTTTACCCCACATAACTTGGTGCTGCTTCCCCACATATGGCTGCTAACCTCATGTGAATGTGTGAAGCAGCCACTCCTTCCTTCCGGAGAAACCACACAGTCCACCATTGCCCGTGATTGTTTACTTCCACATGGTCTGAGCGTTGTCCACGACTGCACCTGCACACCGCCACAAATGATGCAGCACTGTTCAACCTGTGTGCAGTAGCAACGTCATCTCATGGTCATACGCGGCACTATAGGATGTCTTCCCACATACACCGGCTCTCATTTGACACTGCTACTTTTCCGGAGTTATGGAAGAAGTGTCAATCATTCTTGAACGACTTAAATAAGTTCTGGGGTTGCTTCATTCCATGTTTTCCTAATTCATCACTGGTTATGTAACAAATGGTATAGGCAATGCAGATTCAAATAAAAAAGAGGCAAAATATCAGTATACTAAATGCACTGCTGCGGTGATTAGCACTCTGTCTTCATATTTAAGAAGCATTAAGCTTCTTAATGCTTGTCCTGACAGTGTCTTTCTTCAATTGGGTTCTAGCGGTTTTCCCAAGTTCCTCCATGCAAATCCGGGGATGTACGTCAATATATATACAATCACTTGCTTACTAGTAGTTCATAGATGGTGGTAAGGTTGTCACAGCCTTACGCGCCGGCTGCCCTTTACCCCCAAGAATATTCCTGGTACTCATTTCTGTTAAGAGGCTGAGTCAACCCGTGGGCCATAGTGCAGCTGGAGGGATTATATAAATTGAAAAAATCCACATCGGGATTGATCCTGCGACCTTCTGGCTTTAGCATAGTGCCTCAACCAACTACGCTACCACGTACCCCATTATAAATTGCAGTATTAACAAAAATTTAAATTTAAATAATAGATTATAAAGGGTTCTGATGATGGTATCACTTAGTATTAATGAACTTTGGGACTTAGTCTATTATCCAGTATTCTTAAGAACACAGCATTTTGGAAACTGTATCTGTTTCAGTCTTCAGGTGAGGGGGTGAGAGATGCCTCAATCACTGGACAATCTATGTCAGTAGAATTCAGGGCAGAAATAGATCCAGTTTCTGAAACACAGTGTTCCTTAGGACACTGGATAATGGACAAAGTCCAAAAAGCACTGTAATGTGGAGTGTTAAGTAATAGCATTTCTATACCTTTGATGCATATTTGTGAGACAGAATGTTTACACATCAGATTTTTTAACATCACTCATTCATCACACTCTATTTCTACATCATGATCCTAGCAGTTAATAAAAAGCATTCCAATTGCTGCTGTCATGCCATAGCATAAGTAAGCAAGAGAAGTGATTTCATGAAGTAATGTGAACGAACATGAGAAGTTGTACTTGAGTGAAGTGCAGACAGTTTGCAGTTGAAAGTAAAAGCTGTAGATCTAAGAGAAGTGTTATTGATATTATGCATTTTTTTTATATGAGCTTTTTGAGGAAACTGATAAAAGTTTCATTGGAGCCTCAGATGAAGAAAGAATATATGACAACCAATACAGACCAACATTAAGTCACTCAAAAGTTTTTAGTGTAGATTCCCAATATTAGATTTCAACATAATCTGTTTTTCAGCTTCAGAAGTTAAACATGTGAGCAAATGGATGGACAGATGTGCCTGTCCATTAGGCATTAAGTTTATGTATTTGCAAAGAATGCATCAGAACAGTTTTCAACAAAAAATAATATAAAACTTGCAGCATCATGTTTAGATAAACTTCACACTGATGTAACCAATGTAAACACCTTGCCAAAGGTTTAAAATTTAAGTTGATCTTTTATTTTCAAAGACAAAAGAAATGTTTCTTAATTGTGAGTAAAATGAAAACATGATATCAGCACGTGACAATGCATTCTATGCAATGGTACAGTGTGTTCACTGTTACATTAATTAATTAACTTTAACACTTGATGCGAGTCTATTGTACAGGCATTTCACTGTATAAAATTTTACATAAATCTCTTAGCATATTGTAATTCTGTTGTTTGCAGGTCAGTTCTACTGCCAACCCTGTAATCTTACATTAAATTCTGAAGCACAGTTTGCACAACATTGTGAAAGCAAGAAACACAAGTTTAAATTGGCAACTGTGAAGAAACCATATCTAAACAAGTCACTAGGGAGAATTGGTACCTAAATTCAACATGCTAGCATGAAGTAGATGATGAAAAATAAGAAATAAGTTAGTCACATGTGTAAATTGTCAGCTACTTTATTAGAAAATTTGTTTTAATTGTCTGAAGTTATAATTTTAATATGTTAAGCAGTTAATTTATATGTGCATTATTTTAGAAAGTAAATTGTATATCACATTTGAATTTGTCAGGAGTGAGCATTTACAGTGTTTTAGTTTAATGATCGTTGCTGTGTGAAATATCACTCTTGCACGAATAGTATTATTTTACTGTAGCAAAATTGTGATTGTGATTTTAAAGTGTCATTTTTATGTTTAGGAACATATCACAAGATAATGTTCCTTCCACTTCCAGCTGTCTTTAATATACAGTAAACATTCAAAGTGCTGTCCATATAAATGATAGTGTTTTGATCTCATGTATTATTAAAGTTAAAAAAATCTTAAGGCTGTTTTCAGCGTATGTTGACCTTAAAGACATGTCTATTGAATTGATTTACTCATTGTAAAGATGTGTATGCATGTATGTTGTTTTAGATAATAATTAAAAAATGCATTTTGCGCAGTGATATTAGTATATGTTTTTTATTTGCAAATAAAAAGATTGGCATTTAAAGTTCAAACCTCAGTCAATGTAAAGTGTGTGTGAATGCATCCAATAGAAGCAGTATTTCCATCAAAACTGTTCTTTGCATATTTATTTTTTAAATTGCAATTCATCAGAGAAAAACTGTTGGAGAAATTTATATATGTGGCTCTTATAAATACCACCAAATAATCACCAACTAGGACACATGTTCATGTTCATACTATGTGGAAAGCATCTTGCCAAGTAGGTTTATATTAATTTTATATTGCCATTGCATTTCCTATGAAATATCTTGGCTGTTAATTTTAGATTCATTACATTAAACATGCATGTAATTTTACTGTTCATTTCAACTGTCATATACAACTGTATTTTGATGAAATACAATATTTTGAAACATAATCAGTCCTTGTAGTTAGAAGTAGTAGTTAAAGTCTTGTTCAACCCGTACAGTTTTTTAAGTTTTAATTTTTAATTTTAATCACTGGTGTTTGTACAGAAGGTGATATTAGTGGTATAGAAATGGGGAAGTAGTCTTGGTATCTCATTTTTGGGACAACCATTTTGTATACAGGGTGTCCCAGGAGGAATGGACCAAACTTCGGGAGGGTGTTCCTTATGTTAAAGTATGCCGATATAACCCAAAACACCTATGTCCAAAGTTGAGCAGGTACGGAGATAATGGCCAGAGAAGTGTCAAACTTTGACCGGTGTTACACACTTGTTGATTACAAAATACATATTAAAACTGGCAGGAATATGTGGATTCTGTAATGTTAATAATATACATAACATCAAACTAACTTGTGAGTGACGGAAAGCCATA